TAAGAAACTAACAATTGTGTAAAATAGGTTTTCAGATAGAGACGTTTATTATTTTTCTATTGAGGTTGGTTTGTTGATGATAACAACTTATCAATTATTATGTTACGTGAGCAATAAATTCCTTATCTCATATTTATTGTAATCCCAATGAAAATATTCGGGTAATCTGCTTTTATTACTCACAGGCTGGTATCGAAAGATTTGTCCGCTGTGACGGAGCATGCTATTTTTCATAAAAACATTAAGAATGCTTCACGATTTTTTTTTTACTCATATGTTTCGTTATATCAAAGATAATTACTTACTCCATGCAATGGATATATCATTTGCGTGTAACCTTCACTTCTGTTTGAAGTCCAATAACGCTAGGAGTAAAATCTATTGAAAACGGCGCCAGAGTATCAAACTCTAAAATGTACCATTTCTTTTTTAACTTTTTAATGGCATGATATAGTGACAGGATAATATTAACATATGTTTTAAGCATAACTCTGAATGTATTAATGAGATATTAATGCATTGGGTCTTTTTAGTTTTTTTAATAAAAAATAATATTAATATTTTTTGTCCGCTGTGACGGAGCATTTTCACAGTTCACATTTGCAACTGCTCCGTCACAGCGGACAAAAAAATTAAACATTATTTTTTATAAAAGAATTAAAAAGACCAAATACATCAACATCTCATTTATACCTTCATAGTTATGCTGAAACCATGTGTAAATATTATCGTGTCACTATATCGTGCCATTAGAAAGTTAAACAAGAAATGGTACATTTTGAAGTATGATACTCCGGCGCCATTTTCAATCGCTTTTCTTCCCAGCGTAATTGGACTTCAAACAGAAGTGAAAGTTACCCGCAAATTATATATCTATTGCATGGAGTAAGTAATTTTGTATGGTATAACGAAACATATGAGTTAAAAAATAAATCGTGAAGTATTCTTAGTGTTTTTATGAAAAATAGCATGCTCCGTCACAGCGGACAAATATTTCGATACCAGCCTGTGACTATGGAAACAGAAATTGTATTAAAGAGAGGATTCGAAAAAGTAACATTTAGAATAAGGAGTGTACTAACAAAAGTTATTAACCCATTTATTAAGAAAAATGAGAGAATTTTTACTTTTATTAAATATTTTTGAATTGGTAAATTGATTCTTCCGATTTCATTCCTGCGAGAAGAATTTCATGGCGGCCATGTTTTAAAATGTAAAATTGAGAGTAAACAAGAGGAATCAATGAGGAACAAAGTATACAGACATAAAGTCAACATTCTAAATTGTATAAAAAATGCAAAAAAATGTGGTACTTCATACAAGTTTAGAGAGAAAAGAGTGGAATGAGCATGAATGATATTTCAAGCATATGTCTTACATATCACAACTGTAGCCTATTATGAAGGGTTAATTAGTCTGAGCAGCAAATGAAACCATATTGATAAGATAGGCAAGGATGACATAAATGAATGAACGCAAGGAGGTCATGTGTGTCTCAAACTCACAACCTCATGGTTACAGCGACAATGCCGAGCTTATAGCTTAAATTTTGCTTATGTTGACATTTCTTACTTATAATGTTATAAATGGTTGTCTGCTTATGCTTCTTATATGCATTTAACTTTCAATTATCCGTTATATACGTACAACATACTGTTGGCAAAAGTAATATAAATAAAGGAGAGACAACATTTAGACAATCCTCAAACTTTCAGCTTATTCCTCTCAACCATCAAACCAAATTCTGGAAATCAACTTAAATCAAAAAGAAACCTTTTCATATTTTCAGTTCACAAGAAAGTTTAAAGTTACCCTTCACACAGAGTCTAGTTATAAACTGAAGACAAAGCTCTGTTTTAAGAAGTGAAATCGAACAAATGGTAAAGGGTAGTTTAAAGTAAAAATCTGAAGATAAACTTCTTTGTTTGTTTGAGTCATCTGTCTAGACTCATTAGACTCAATGTACTTTCGTAAACATTTTGTTTACTGCGGTTTTGATAATATTCCTATGGAATACCATAATATTTATATAATTACATCTGTTTTTGAGATCACAATGTTATTTTCTAAGAACTGTGATAACATTGAATCTAAAAATAACTGTTTCGCCATCAACACATTTGTTAGTGTCCTGGTCATAATTATGGAACTTCCCGTTTTGTTATCTGATAGTTTTGTGATTATCATTATTTATCATTATAATAATAGTTGTTACATCGTGAGTGTTTTCTCACATCCTGGTTCCGTTAGTCTTCGGGCTAACAACCTGTCTTCATTTGACCAATCAGTTTTAGATTCAGATTCAATGTGCTCCACTGTCATCTTCGTTCACTCGGCTCCCATCGGTCAATGAACGCAGTGAAGACCGGGCGTGCCAATATGCTCCATTGTGGAATGGAGGTTAGCTTCAGATTTAAAGACCTTTAACTATTATGGTGATCTACAGATTTGTACTCCCATTTGTAGTATTTACTTGTAGTATAAAGGTATAAAGAATGTTGTATTTAGGTCCCTGAAATAATCTAGGGGGACAGTTATCCCTGGGATGGGGGTTATAAATATGACGCATTTATATGCAGGTTAGGTTTTTTACTTAGCAATATATTTGATCTGCTAGACCATGGTCTTCTGTTGAAAGCCCATGGCTAGACTGAAACTGTAAAAATGATGTCTCCTGGTACTTAATACACATAGCTAGGTAAGGTGTGTCCAATTCTAGCTAATCAGAACACGCTATTTTATGTAACTGCATTCCGCTGCGCGGTCATGCAAAGATTTGGAAACAACACCTTCAATGAATGATTCATCACCCACACCATGCACTGAATTCCGAGCTCAAATCCTTAAATAACCTCCTTGGTTGAAGATTTGCCTCACCTATTGAAATTTGCCTCACTTATTTCAAAAAGCTTGAAATCTCCTTCATTCAATTATAAGTATGGAAGCCTTTGCCCTTGCTAACAATAATGTTTGATCAAGATGTTATGAATGAATATGCAAACATAAAACAAAAATCTCTAATGTTTGACAGATATGTCAAAACTGTCAAAACTGTTGAAATTGTTAGAAGTGATGAAAATGCAGTTATATATTTTTATTGTGATTACCACAAAAGTATTCTGAACATTTTCAAGTCCTATTATGTAGGGATTCCTCTATTTTGATGGTTTTTGGATTAGTACTGTTTCTTTTCTGATTTGCAAACAGACAAGACTGGATTATATTATCTGCTATTTGCTCTTTTTTGCTTATTTTTGACCACCAATGCACCCTTTATTTACAATATGTTTGTATTATATACCCCTGTTTTTTAGATGTATATAGATAGTACATATCAGCATAAAATGTAATATTATTGAAAGCATGAATAGAATTGCAATGAAAACATAAAAAGGTAACTTGTTTGTTTACCTCTGTAATCTAATACCAAATCTCTCCAAACAGCAAAAACATACGGGATAATTTGTTTTTCTTGAGGAATTCAGAAAAATAGTTTTTGGTGAAGTGTATGTAAGATAACCTATCAGAACTCAATACAACGAGCTTGGTGGTCACGCTTTAGGCATATTTAGAGTGGAAAATAGGGAAATCAGGAAGATTTCATCGATACACACCAAAAGCTGATATTCTAAAGTATACAAAATGTAAAAAACATAGTACCCTCGTTCTAATTTTAGCGTGAAATTGAGCAGAATAGTTAGAACGTGAGTGAAAACTTGTGGATTGATAGCCTATCAGCGCCCCTCGACACATTACATTAGCATCGCTCCAAAATAGACTCTGGCAACCTTGGGAGGGATAAATCTTAAAACAGAAACCCGGAGAAAACATTTCATGAACACCACATTTTAAAATGCAGAATAGGGTAGAAAGCAGAGAAATAACCAAGGAAAAAAGTCAACAGACATGTAGTGGAGATTCTAAATTATACGAAAATGCCATGAAATTAGAAAAATTATTCAATTTAGAGAGAGAAAAAGAGTGGAATAAGCATGAATATCCATTGACATTTAAACTAAATAGTCCATTTGCTGATGAAGCAACTGCATAAGTCATAAAGCTCATATATTTTACACAGAATATGGTAAAGCAATTGCATTTCTAAAATAAGAACAGATGAAAATATATTTATCTTGTTGCTTGCTATAAGTCTCCAACGTAATTTACTTTAACATTGCTGTACATTCATTGATCTTGGATTGGCTGGTTAGCGGGTGGTTTTGTAGTCTTTTCTAATCTGCGTATTTCCAACAAATCCCTTGAAGGATTAATTTAAACTTTCAGGAATGTTTCTTTGTGTAAATATATAGAACTGCAGGACCATAGCCAGTATTTGCTAAGGGGGTTCACTTTTTGAAAAATTCCAAGGGGGGTTCACTTATAACAATTTTGGTCCAAAATGGCGAAAACACTTAAAGGGTGACGCATATCGTTTAGCAAATCGAACGATCGTTTCTGGTGTTGCTCACCGTTTAGTATAAAAGGCCCGATCCCGGAATAAAACTCAAGGGTTCACAGGCTCGAGGTTGTTGTGTCAACACCTCTAACTGTTACATAGCATAAGTATATTATAGATCGTCACATATTTATAAAAATCAAATCAATTCCACATTTATGGGTGAAGTTTCAGGATCTTCTATTTGATGTGTATAATAAGGAAAAATTGCATCTAAATTTCCCCATAACGTAATAGCACACAGCTTGGTATATGAAATATCCTACAAATGAAACAAAGCAGTTCTTATACAAGGATTTATATTGGCTGTTGTACATATTCTTTGAACGAAATCACTCTATGGATAATGTTTTCAAAATCATTATAAACGGATTACTTTATCTCAAAGACAATTTCAATAAACTGGATTTTACAGAACTCCCCTTATTTCTTAAAAATGGACTGATCCAGTCGATTCGCCTGGAGCCGCCATATTGTTTTTATATGGGATGCTTATCGGAACCCTTTAAAAAGTGAAGAAAAAAGAACTGGGTAGATTTTGGGCATGCTTGGTAGATATAAACATGGTCAGTTTAGGTACAATATTGTTCAAAGTGTACCATTTTGTTTTTACGTTGAATATCTTGGCACTTAATTAAAAGCTGCATAGGAATGAAAAGTATGCTTTGAAATATTTCATAAATAATTTATTATAATCAGCAAATTCTCATCTCAGGATGTATCGGTAAAATGTTATGGATTTCTCTCAAATAAGCTCACGATTTAGAGTTGTAATAATTCAAAATTGTCCTTGATTTAAGATTTTTAAGAAAATTGCGCTGGCCAATAATTCTTGGGATGATTGAGATGTAGGTCAGTGTATTAGACAAATGCATATAGATGTCACTATAATGTAACTTGGAGTCCAGTAAAGTCTTGAATAAAAAAAAAGAACTAGCTATCCAAACTATTTTGAAATACAGTGATTTCATTTGTGGAAAGGATGTTCAAAATGTGCCATTATAGATTATCTTAAATAGGATGTGTAGGATAATTAGCATGAAATTCTAGATACACTCATTAATCAGTAAATGGTTGATAATTATTATTTCATAATGGCATCGCAAATTGCATTTCTGGAAAACAAAACATAAAATACACATATTCATATAACATAAAAAAGAAATCAGAAATCGGGAATGGATAGCAATTAAAAACTTCAAGGTCAAATAGAAATAGGGAAGTGATAGCAATTCAAGTTGCTGACCTTTATGCAGTAACAGAATCAACTACGGGGGGAGGCATTGATTGAAAGGGTAAAAGACATTTATAAAGGACATTGGGGATTGAATATGCAGCAAAATATACAAGCAATAATGGCAAGTGTTGGGGGGGGGGGGTTATTGAGCTGAGTGGCCTCTCCTCCAGGAGATGATGGGATATAGTTGATGTGGTTACTAAACTATGGAATCTCATAGCCTCACTGAATCCAATCAACCAACTGATAATTTCCAATTAATCCCTTCACGCTCTTTGCCATAGTATCTGGTACATTTGAGCACGTAAAATCTTTATTTTATTTCTTAACTCTGCGCAGTTATCGTACTCATCATTTATGGAGGCATAAAAGATACATAAACATAAAGAGGTGAGATTTTTGGGCTGATTCTTCAGAGGAACTCTTAAGTAGGACTGTTTGGTGAAATTGTTATACGCTAAGTGTTGTTTATCCGAGTTTCCTTTTATGTTTGGAGTTGTTTATGTAAAGCTGTCAGGTAGACTTGTTATATACTACAGGTGAATCGTGTGTGTCTTTTTTCTGGCGTGCATGTTTCTGTCTGCGATTTATTTTATAAAGAGGAAAAACAGGGAATCAAGAGTTTTTGGTTGCCATAGTAACTGTTCTCTTGGATCTGAACTGTGAAGTATGGAAATTATATATTATAAAATCAGATACTTTATTCCAGTTTTAGAATGAAATTGATGAGAATAAAATGACAACCAACAGGTGATGACATTTTGCATGTTAATGCCTTGTTCAATTTATAGAGTAGTTATGATTTCTTTCATTTTGCTGAATAGAATATTAATTTTATAATAATTTGCTACAAATAGGTCACACTGACCTTTATAGATATTCATCAAATAGTTTGTAATGTGCACAAATTTAATTTTGAACATTGTTATAAAATTGCAATTCTGGGTCAGAGAAAATCAAGATCAGATAACAATACATTTTTCTTCCAGGTTCATGATTTGATTGACAGCTCTGTTTTTGCACCTTCCATATTTGGAATGAACTTTCGTCAAAGAATTTCTGTTGAAAGAACAATCTCACAAGTTGGGGATTTAGGGCTACTCAATTAAGTGGATTAAAGTACATGTACCTTTGCTTCTTTTAATTACATTTTGGTTGATAGATTTTTTAAAATTTATCCTTGAGAAAGGAAAATAATTTAGGAAATTTGAAAATGTTGTAATGAAACTGAGTGTTAAATGTAAAAATATACATTTTCCACCATCTTTCACAATTCTGCTAGTGTCATGGAAAGTGTACTTAGTCATTTTAACTGTTGCTGTGGAGATGAAACCTACTTATACGTTGTAATAACTGCAAATTAAATAGATATAACTTATCCTAAAAACGTCAGTTATTAAAAGTGTGTTCCATTTGTTTCTCTTAAACAATAATGTAATAAGGTGCTGTTTGATTTCTTGCGATGTTTTACAAAGATTTGTAGTGTGTTATTTTTAGAAACTCATTATTTTTGGAAACTCATACATCTCTCTTCTACTTATTTATAGTTTACTATCGTTCTTGTGTGAATACTAAATCTTTATTGGAGACCAACTTGTACAAGGACACAACAAACAATGATATTTTTGGCTCACACAGTGAGCCTATGGGATTGTCACAATCATTGATTTTCCAAAGAAAGGGTAGGTTTGAAATTCAAATTAACGGTTTTGCGGGGCATTTTGGTTTCGATACGCCCCGGTGAGTTAGTACCACGTGTTGTTATACAAGCAATTCAAATCTCAATTGATTTTATAATTTTAAAACCTTTTGGAATAATTACTATCACTATCAATATTTAAGTCCCGAAAATTCCAAATTTTTTTTACCTAAACTCCATTCATTTCCCCACAACGAAGCCTTACTGTAGGAGCAGGTTCCAATATCAAAGACTGTCTGAAGGTCAAGGCTTATCTCAAGGTCACAGACTAATGACTTACTAATTGCAATATGATATTTCAATTTCGTCTAAGGCTTAGACGTATTAGAGTTGATCCTCTGTAAAGATATTTCATTGCAAAAGTCACAAAGTTGTTGGAGTTCATTTGTCACAATGACTTTGGGGATTAAGTTATATCTTTGTAACAAATTGCCAGTCTCTTCATCTATAAAATATCATTGAAAAGAATCAGAGATGAAATTTCATTGTATGTTGTAACCAGACAAACAAACAATCAATCAAACAAACAACCAACAAAACAAATGTATCTGGTTTAAACAAAGTAAATTCCAGACGTACACAACAGACAACAGACAGCAAAACAAATGAACTTTATTTCATTCATGAATGATGTGGATTTTGGGATCAGTGCTGCCATCTTTTAATAAACATTGAAAAGTTTTGATAAATAAACCTCAACAAAGAATTGCATTGTATATGTACATATACTAATCTTAAGGCATACAATTGTTAATGAAAATCTAGTAGAAATATCTCATTGACAATATGTTAAAGTACTGCATACTAAACTGAGTACACTCTGTCAAAACTAAGTTCATGTATTTCAACTGTTGCTTTTGTAATTGCAGAAAGAAATTCAAGACCAGATCAGGAGAAACTGTCCGATTGGTTGATTTACTGGACGAAGGCATTAAGAGATCTGAGGCAAAATTGAGAGAAAAAGAACGAGAAAATGTAATTATAAATATAGTTCCTATAAGTATTAAAATGTTTGCTTAAACTATCATAAATATGATTTCATAGTTCTCTGCAATATTTTGTAAATATTACTTTTAGGAGGGGGCATGATTCTGTACCACTCTATACATATATGATAAATCTATCTATTGTTCCATGTTTATTTCATTGCTATTTCATGTTTATTTCCCAGATTTTATCACCTGAAGAGTTTGAGGCTGCTAAAGTGAACGTGGCATACGGCTGTATCAAATATGCAGATCTATCCCATAATAGGCTCAGTGACTATGTATTCTCCTTCGATAAAGTAAGTGAAATTATTTATATTACTACTTCCTACTTCACCAATGAGATGTTGCTTTTTCGATAAGAGGGTCCTTTATCTGCCCAAATATGGTAAAATCACAGGATACGCAGGCCCAGCTTTTGTCAATGTGAGGTTCACTTTTCTCAAAATCTTTGGCCCAAAATCACTTGAAAAGTACTCTGAATGGTGAAAAACTGCATGATTTTGAAAAGAATTTTGGCCAGGGGTGGATTGCTTGCACCCTTGTCATGTGACCCGTGTTCAGTACCAATATCCAATGGGATACATGACAGGGGGATAATAATGAAAATATATGAAACATCATGTCTTTTTTCTTTGGTATTAGGAAACGAAGTTTCATTTGGTAGAAAATCACAACTCAGTTATCTCATTTTGCTTCAGTTATCTCATTTTGCCTTTTGCAACAAGTGCAATTTTAATCCCAATGTAAGATTTTGAAATCCCATTTTGTAAATCAATTCTTTCAATGTAAATGAAAGTAAGTGAAGGTAAGCACCTTTTATTTTCTAGCTTTAGAACTTTTTCAAGCTTTTATAAAACAAAACAAGAATGTCATTATATTTGTTATTTGAATTCAGATGTTGGATGACAGAGGAAATACAGCTGTCTATCTGATGTATGCTTGTATGAGAATCAGGTATGTTTCATCAATTAAAAATGAATGATTACTTGAGATATAGAGGTTCTTATATGAGTACCTGTGCAAGATCGTCCATTCTTGATGAGCTTTGATAATTCTTCTTTATCGAGTCGCAGACGAGATAAAGAAACATTATCAAAGCGAGTCAAGAATGGACGATATTGCACAGGTACGAGTATAAGAAAGTTTTTCTCATATGACTCTGTATTATGCCATATTTTCACCTTTTTATGATAAAACAGAGTGAAAAATAGCTTCAAATTAATGGAACTTCATCTTTCAATTATTATGACGTCATAACAATGTTGTAGAAAACACCTGCTTACGCGTGGCAACAAAGTCTGATTGTTATGACGTCACAACTTATTTTGTTGAATGAGCATGGATACACATAGTAACGGTGTATCAGTTGTCATGTTGATGATGTTTTTAAACCTGTGATGTCATAAATAAATCTCATCTTGCACGTGTGACTTTTTAGGATGAAAGATGGCAGTATCTTGCATGGGGTAAAGATGGCTGTATCTTTCCTAGTCATATGAGAAATCTCTCTTTTTATATGCTGTTCTCTCTCAAATTTGAATAAATTATTTGATATTCTTGCATTTCAATTTAAAGTGTTGACTAAATGTCTATTTACATTATTCCTTGTTTATTCCACTCGTTTTCATTCTATTTTTGCATTTTAACATGACCACCTTGTCTGGTTTTCAGGAATTTTTGTACAATGAAATATATTTACAAATTGACCTTCCTTTCACCTTTTTCATTATGTCACCACCACAAGTGATGACATATTGTAATTGTCTCCGCATTTAGCGGTCAGTGTCTGTTACAAATGGCAGGTGGTGGCATTTTGCATGTCAATCTTTTGTTCTGTTTTACATTTCAAAATATAACCACTTTATCATTTTCAGGGCTATTGCACGCACTGCCAATGTTACACCAGAACAACTGGCAGAGGCTGCTAAGACAACTGATCTCCCATTGGAACATCCTAAGGAGTGGAAACTAGGTAAAGAAAATGTAGAAGTGAATTGTATTGTATCTTGGTAAATGCTATATTTGGCGAGCAATCCCTAATTATTATATACCGTATTTTACACTCAAAGACAGAGCCAGAAATCCCTCCTTGGAGGAGCCCTGTATTCTTTTGTGTGCACTGGTGCACAGACATACAAGTACACACTACAGCATTTTATAAGTCGAGGACCACTCAGTCAAACACTCAGAATTACATAACGTAAATGGGAAATGAACCCAGGGCCATGCGGTAGTGGTAACCTTGACTCTGCTGCTGAGCCATAGCAGATGGACTCAATAACTATCAAAGATCGATCAAAGTATATTTCACCCTTTGCCCATATAGGGACAGCTTAATTAACATTATCTTTCTCTTTCAGGGAAATGTCTTCTCCGTTTCCCGGAAGTGATCCTGAAGATGATGGATGACTTATTGCTGCATTCTCTATGCGACTACCTGTATGAAGTTTCTGGCACTTTCACGGAATTCTATGACAGTTGTTACTGTGTGGAGAAAGATCGAAAGACAGGTGTGTATGTTGTCATGGTGATGATTTCTGGGCTTGTTAAGTTTTGTTCAAAAAGTGAGATTTTAGGTTAAGTTTTTGATATAATAGAGATTATCCTATATGAGGTTCAGGATATTGGAATTATCCTGAGGCCAGTAACAGTATGATATATCTGCCTGAGAGCCATAGGTCTCAATGGAAAATGTATGACATTGAACAAGGGCTAACAAGGGATAATCTCAATATCCTGAACTGACTACGGAGTAATCAACTGAATATTGTCATCTTGTCATCAAAATTCCAGGAAAACCGTTTATGCATTCATCTTGAATTTTTGCAATATTTATCACTATGTGTGTTTCTTCTTCCAGGAGAAATCTTGAAGGTGAACATGGAACGTCTGTTGCTATGTGAAGCCACAGCCAGGATATTGGAGACAGGATTCCACATTCTTGGCATTACCCCATGTGCTAAGATGTAGTCATCACAATGGATAGCCATGCAGAGATGAAAGTGCAAATAATTGAATGACTCCATGGACAATCAACAATAGTATTGTGGCTGCAAAAATGGCAATAGGTGGAAAGAAAGATGAAAGAAGTGGTCTGTCTATTTCTATTTCAATATAAATATACAACCACATCGGCCACATCTTTTGGTTAATTCGGTCCCTATAAAAAGCTATACATATCTCTACTTTAGCCTATTATATATACCAAGAGGAATTACAGCTACAACTTTTGGATGCACTGTCAAATCTGTACATGCACAAGGAATAAATAATAAAGTGAATATGAATTCTATTCGATTTTTATGTTATCACAAGTGGTTACATACATTGTTTTAGTCTCCAACTTTATTTGGTGTCAGCGAGTGGTGTTCAGCATCTGTATCAAATGACAGGTGGTGATATTTTGCGTGTTCAAGCCTTAAATCATGGTATGAACTAGTTTCGGAGATTTCAAAATGACAAAATATCAATCAACATCCAAATGCAAGGTCTCATATGACACCAGTTTGGTTATTTCCTGGAACTCAATTCTCAATTCTCGGAACAATGTTTAAATCTGAAAAAACAATGAAAGGCTATTCAATATAGTGAAATTCTACTCCGACAGAATGTCGATACAAATGCACTCACCTTCGGTTTGTGCTTTGTATGACGTTCTCCCCAACTCATGCTGAATTTAACCAAATTGAATGGCAAATAGTTCTTTGCCTTTTCCAATTCACGAGCAACAGTAAACAAAACAAGTCCGTTTGTTTTTTGTTATTTTTTCTTTATTATTAATAATACAGTAATAATGATGATCAAGAGAGACATGGCGCTATGCAAAGCTACTTTTAATCAAAAGCATTATGATTGGTCAATCCTAGTTGACATGACCAATTTATTTAAATCCTTGCATTATGATTGGTTGGTCCTACATCACATGATTAAACAATTTAAATCCCTACTACACTAAATGAAAACCTAACAAGAACATCCACATGCAAAAAAATCCTACAACAAATTGTAGAAAAAAACGAAGTTTCATAAAACAATTTTTTCATAACTGCTCACACATGTACAATTGTGTCTCGGCAGAGATTTAAATCATTTAACTATGTAAAAATGATAATTATTTGAATCAATATGTATGATTTAGCACCAAAACATAATTATGTGACGTGGTTGAGAACCATGTGCATAAAATACCATTGCAATCCTGTATTGTTATGGGAGGGAGAAGGGAGGAGTAAAGTAAGAATTGAACAAATTCACTATCAATGGAAAAGCCAGAATATCATCCTCTATTTAGAGATATAAAGGATGTTCTAGAACTCCCAATTTACCATCTCAAATTCAATATTTATCAGAATTTCTTAATTATTTATTTTTAAAATGAAAGAATTTTTGTGTCTAGGTCTAGGAATGTTACTTGGTTCATGGTGGAGTTTGGTACCCAGTATAGCTTGTTTGCTTCAGAAGAGGCTTTAAAAGTGGCTAGTTTGCTTTGGGAGAGGCTTTAAGAGTGCAATGATATTCTAAGCACAGGTGACATTGTTTGAATAAAGTTGATGAAATAATCCCAAAAAATCTTAACAATATATTTTCAAATATTTTATACAGTATAATAGTTGAATCATTTGACCCAGTCCCAATTTACTATGTACATATAAAGAGCTAGACATCTGCAGTTAAATCACTATATTAGTTGCACTATCACATCCCTCCTACTCGACGGGAATTGCATTTCAGAATTTGATCCAAAATTGATTTGTCAACTCGCTGAAGAGTTGCAGAGACTACTTACTTACTAGATTTTGATATGAAGTGATGCTGGCAGAATAATCAATTGTAATTTACATCAAATTGAAATTACGCATGAAATATATAATAGTTGTGACATCATCAATTTACAGAGGAACTTTACGACTAATATACTGTTTTAACTATCACTTTACGAATCTTGATTACATTTAAAACTTTTTACACTTTGTCCAAAATTTGCTAAAAACTGCATCAACCACTCCATGGATGATGTCATAATGGTCATCAGTTTCACATGGAATTTGGCGCAAATAAGAATATTCGACCTCGATATGATGCAAGCTGAAGTAAATTATAGAATTTTATAGATGCTTATGAAGAGTACATGATGAAGGCAGTTGCAAATACTGGTTTCGTGTGCATTATCAGGTTTGTAATCAGTGAAGTGAAGTACTTTATCAAACCTCCCTTTTATGAAAGAACTATTGTTATGTAACAATGGGTGACATCGATAACTTCATGATTTATGTCAATTATTTTCTCATTATTTATAATCTCGGAAAAATAATGCTCGTTGAATTAAAGAGAAAATTGCATTTACTCACTGGGTTAAATTCATTTACGAATAATTAATTTGTGAACGATCACAAAATGGGCAAATCGATATGATATTATAACGTAGACATCAAAATATATAAATAACCCACCCGAAGCGAACTGAAAAATTGTAAAATTGAAAAGTTGAATGTACATATTTTAAGAAACCCTGACTGACCCATTAATAAAGTTCAAACCCAGGAATAAAACATCACTTAGTTCAAGCTTTTCTAAATTAGAAACAAGAGGAATTAACACTGAATATATAAACAATAAACCTATTGCAGTTTGCATTTATATCAATGACCAGAACTCACAAAATTTATTCAAATTTCTGAAGGATCAAATAAAGCAATCTAAGTGTTATTTCATCTCTGGGTTTGTTTGTTGTATGCATGGTTGCTTAGATACGTTTTTTATATTACACTATGGTACAAGGACTTGGTTCATTCACAAATCCCATATATATCAACTGATATGAACCCTTACATTGAACTTATTAGATTATTATGTTCTCAGGTAAGGCCACTAAAGTGAACATTTACTCACAGGTATATGATGACATTTGTGAAACAGGCCATTCATTTCAATGGCCTAATTCTACGTTCATAAATTATACCACATACGTTTCACACTAAAATCAACAACTGGTGTAGTTTACACACAACATGTGTAGTTTACACATTATAGCTGCAATTTAAACAAAAATAGCAAAATTTACACATAATACTTCATTCTGTAGTCCATCACATAGGTCTACAAGTTGTTCCAATCTGTCATCCATATTTTCAAAGAACGAAATCTAATAGCTGAATTTCCTAAGATTCTTAAGGTAACATTTCAGGAACACCCTGTTGACCTTATGAATAAGAAGCTGTGTAAAACATGACATCATGGTATGGACACGTAACATCATAAGGCAACTAAATCCTTAACACAAATAGGTCCGTTTATGTTAACTAAGCCATCTTCTAGGTGCTCACCTAGTATCTCTAAGACACAGCAATATAACCTCAATGACTCCAAAGTGGACAAGCTTTCCCAAATTGCAAATTTCACATAGGAGAGGACATATCGAAGAGGTATAAAGGGGGGGGGGTCTTAATGTTGCATTCAGTTTCTTAATTATGAAAGGACTGCACTACTAGAGTAATTCTTTCTATTATTCCATTTGCAAATAACTACACAGTAGATATAGATCAATAAATACTGGATATACTTTCACAAGACTATTATGTCTTAATTTTTCTTTCAGGATCTACTGGCACTTCTGATTTTATTACTGCCACTTTGGAGTCATTGATGGCATTGTTAATGAAAGCAACTATAACTACAATAAATCAGAGACAAGCATCTACTGTACATCTTTTGATGTACTTCTACACATACAGTTACACATTGACTAGTTTACATTTTACACAAAATCCGATGTTCAGTGTTATACTGAAGTTTATGTACATCTGATGCTTATGTAGCATGAATTTGTTTAATGCAATTTTAATAGTTTTTTACTTTTTATAGTATGCATTTTACATTTTGAACTTTTTTTGTTGTTTACAAGCCTTGTGTGTATGTAAGTTGGTTAAAATGTAAAATAATTGATTTTTCCTGATAACAACATTAATATTATGTTTCCGTAGCAACATTCATCTGAGGAGCTAATCACCATAGTGATATTCCTTTGATATATCTAATAATAATCAATTCATATATGTAATATACACATGAAAATTAAATTATGCAAAGTTTAAAAATATTTGCGCGAGCGTCTTGTCACCCAATACCTCATCTTTCTATGTACAAAAATATATATAGCACCCATATATGGGCATGGACTCATACTCCGGAGACCATTTTGCCCAAATTAGGGCATAGGCTCACAAATGAGAACATTGTCTCCTGCTTATTATAAGAGGAAGCACAAAGCAGTGTCCGATAATGAAAAGATAAGATCACCTCATCTCGTGCAATTTTCAGTCCTATATGCATGTATATCAGCCTATTATGAATCTATATTGGTCCATGTTTACATGCACAATATCTAAGTGAAATCACAAGCGTTTCTTTGTGAACACAAGCGTATCTCCAGGAACACAAGCGTATCTCAGTGAACACAAGTGTATCACACTCCATACATGCATTTTCCTGTTTGTCCTTATTAAGAACAAATGTCACGGAAAGTAGCCGCTCTATTACTGAAACGTGTTGGCAATTAAGGTGTTTCTTGCACATTTTACACACAAACACTTTGTTTGTTGGTATTCAGAATATCCACCATTTAGTTGGCAAATGTCAAGGTGTAAAATTCAGTATGTTTCCAATCACACTGCCAATACGAGAAATGACATGGTCAATTTGGCGGATTGATCATTTGATCAAACATTTCATGTTAATTACATCTATTTGAGGCGATAGAGCTACACGTTTTAAGACTTGTCCCTGAATGTACAATATTATATGCCAGGGGGATTACTCAATTGGCTTTTCTAGAGACCTAATTATGACTATTTTCTTTATCCTTCTAAACTTAATAAGGGAAGAAGATACTTATAAAAGGGTGGACCACATTCAAATACAAGCACTCTTTAAAATAATAAAAACATGTAGCTGTTTCCCCTATTAACCATTTTTGACCTAAACATAGCTTGCCTTTTACAGCAAGCCTCCGTGGTTGCCAGACTAAACAGCATGTGTTTTTATCTGAATCTCATGGACTCTACTTTAAGGCAAGAGATCTGAGCTTAGAATTTTGGCAATGAAGCTTTTATCTTGAAGCCTATAGATATACATATTGGAGCAGTTAGTTAGTTTCAGCCTTGTGATACTATGCATAGACCAACACGATGTAGTATTTAAACACAACACACTATAAGCTGCCTGTATGAAACACCAGGGAACCATTTCATAATATACATAGCCATGTCAAAGAATCTTTCAAGGATATTTTGAACAACAGCTCAGTCCTAGAAAACCATCCAAATCCATCTCTAATATTTTGAGCAACAGCTCAGTCCTGGAAACTGTCCAAATCCATCACTGATATTTTGAGCAACAGCTCAGTCCTGTCCAAATCTCACTAAATGAATACATTACATCATAAATCTCTTACATTTAATTAATCAATTAGTAACACAAACAATACTGCAGTGGATATAGTTTCGATCATCAAGAAGCATTTCTCCAAACCTTACTCGTGAAAACCAGTCTTTTCAAGCCAAATAGTAGCATGGGCCCAGTCAAGTAAATCATGAAATTTTTACTCAACTGGGCCCAGTTTGATGTTACAACAGTGTGGTGTATGCACATATGGTAAATTTTCTACTAAAAGGCACAATAACTACAACTGGCCAATCAAAAATCTTAACGTTGATTAAATATTCTTTTTCTTGAATTTATACACTTAGTTTTCCCGAATCGTCGGTGTGGAATGCTGACTTAATGAAGGTGCAGTTTCACTTTTTGAAGTTTCCGATTTTCCAGATTTGGCTGGTACATTGTCTTTATGAGCTTTTGATTTCGAAGAGTCTGTTTTTGGTTTTGATGATTTTGAAGTTTGCGGGACCAAGGACTTGTCTGATTCGCTTTTGCTGCGGGTTCCACGGGAGCGTTTGGGTCCTGCAGGAGGGGGGTGTTTTCCTGCTATTGATGGCACATGAACGATGCCACCCTCCTCAATTGGTGGCTGAAATAGAAACAAATCATGATTAGGTTAACATAGGAACCATGACATCAACCAATCAAATAGTTGAATCTTTAATCTGGAGGTAGCAACTCAATACTGGTATATTATGAGGGGAATATCTGAAACAACTTTAAACATGGTTAGTTCAGTGGAATTCTAATGACAATATCTGCTACGTCTGAGTAACTTCGTAGTTATAGATAAAAATCATATTGAAAATATTTCATTTCACACACAGGATTGAGTTGGAACATATGCACTTTTCATATGCTCCCTCCTTGCAGATATCATATCCATTCATGAATAAAAATCATATCTCTCAACATCTTAGGATATCTTCTACATATTTAAGCTTTATATAAACTAATCATGTTCTTACCTCAACGCGGAAATCTTCAAGTCTTTTATACTTCGACAGGCATTCAGTGAGTCTTGGGTCGACCTCAGTATGTTTGCGGGAATATTTCAAGTATGCCCAGAACTTCTCAAGTCCATACAACTGACCTGCAAGTCAAAATGGGTAAATTAATTCACATTTGTTGTATGTAAACCATATATGTAACAATCGTTATAAATCTTCATCAATTTCAACCAAAAGCAAATTCTTGCACTTGCCAAAAACGTTATATGGATAGGATACAACTTGGTTGAAATTCTTTATGAAGTGAAACTAACAGAATAAATCAGGTCTCAGTTGGTTGATCCCTTGATCATATTGTGACAGAATATCTGGCACAATCAAGTGATATTTATAAATCCTCATTGACCTGTTTATTAACATATTGCAAGAGTTCAGAAGCCGCTGGGTTGCTGTATTTTTTTAGACCTAATCTAAAAGGGTAAAAGTCAGAATATTGAATTTTTATTACGTATTTCTCATCAAGAGTGCAGAAACTCTTCTTCTATGGGCCTCCTAGACTTCCATCAATGCAGTTCGCGAGGTCAGAACTGATATTTGCGTTAGTGGAAGTCTAGGAGGCCCGTTCTATGGATATGAAGGCTAACTCTAAAAGTGTAAGCTATATTTGACGTACCGGATTCATAGTCTCGTAGTGTTTCCTCCATGAAATCTTTGTAAAGTTCTGGTCTGAATCTCTTCTCTAACCCATAGCTGAAGAACCTGAACAGGCACTCAACACCATACCTACAAATACATGAAATATTTGTACAGTATACAGATGCAGTTAGCTAATTAATAAATAGTAGCATCTTAAAAATGTTGCATGGAATAAGGTTGAAGGGAAAGCCTTTCAAACTATCTGGAGAATCGATAAGTACTTGTTTCGGTCAAAAAAGCTCAATACTTCATCCCTGTAACATGGTGCACAGATTTTCAGCAAGGTAGCACATAATTTTCAATTTTTCAACATGGAGCCGCCCCTATTTCTTTAATGCCAGGGAGATCACAGAGAAATGTATCGAAAGTTGACAATACAAGACTTACCTATATCCAGCAATGGCATCCTCCACAGCGAGGGTCTTGAACTCCTGGTACATCTTCTTGTTGAAGTGTTGCCGCAAGAAGAATGACCAGAATCTAAAGAGAGTGTTCATCTCCTGGGAGACTCCAACACCAAGCTTCTTACGCTCTGAAATAGTTAGATTGTTTAGATTAGACAGGTTACACTTAACTGTAGAGTTATCATGAGATTATATTTAAACTAGTACACAACACTTTAGCCAGAATCTAAAGAGAGTGTTCTTACGCTCTGAAATAGTTATTTAGTGTTCAGATTAGACAGGTTATACTGTAGTGTTACTCGGAGCATATACTTAAAGGGGTATTCCTTGCCAGACCATCTCTCTCCTAATATGGTAGCTAAATACCATATACATACTTTGCAAGTTTATCAAAAAACAGAAAAATGTTTTGAAATGGTCAATATTGATCACTTAAAAATGTAGTGCTCAATTCCAGTAGGCTGCCATCTTTTAAAATTTCACTCAGGAAGTGATGTCATCGACTCTCAACTTTGCATATAACATTAGGTAAGGAGCTATTAGAATTACTAAACTAGCTGAATATTTTTTTCAATTTGGTCTATGATTAAAATCCTTTTGATGATCTCTTCTTTAGTTTTAAGTTGACAACTCCTGAAAATATTTTTACACAGAAGATAAGGGCTTCTTGTTAAGAAGTGATTTTGTACTTCTTTCCTATACTGTAATAGACAAGGTTATAACAGGTGAGAGTCGATGACATCACTTCCTGAAAGAAATCTGAAAAGATGGCAGCTTACTGGGAATGATTACTACATTTTTAAATGTATGATATATGATTGTAGCTACCATATCAGGAGAGAAATAGTCTGGCAAGGAATGTTCCTTTAAACTAGTACACAACACTTTAGCTAGGAAAAATCTGAAATTCAGTAATATGTAATTCTAGACACATAATTCTACTACAGGCCTCAGTTGGTTGATCCCTTGATCATATTGTGCCAGAATATCTAGTACAATCAAGATTTATTAAATCTTTCCTCATTGGCTTGTTTTCATTTGTACGAAAACTGTTGATGGATGGATGGACAGTGGGATGATTAGGTGATTCCAAAGACTCATTACACCATGGGAGCAAGGCATTAACATACCAAATGTCACTACCTACCATTTGTTACAGATGCTGACTGCCAGAAACCATGATGGATTGATGGTGACATATTACTGTGTATAAAACCAATGTTTTGAAGTTCATACAATTCATTAAAGGTTCAATAGATTCAGTTTAAGTGAATCTAATCACTTGCTTACCTTTTAAGCATTTAGAGTGATATTTGTGGTAGACATGCCATACAAAGCCAGACTCCTTCAACAATTCATGCGAAGGGTGTTGGAAGTTGGGGAAAGTTTGTGGAGTCCCATAACTGGTGGATACTGTGCTCTCTGATGGACTGCAATATACAATATATAAAATTAATTCGTTCATAAAATGATCAATATAAGACTAATCCAAGAATTCAATGAACAGTATTTCTGGCGCGATCAAGTATCTAAATACATCCTTTTTGTCCTGGGCTACTCAGTCCATTATTTGTATTCACATATGAGGAAAATCATGTGGATACTTATAATCCTTTATTTCTCTTAAAATTTGATCTCTCTATTCTATATATTATATTCTATTCTATATTACATGTCTATGGAATTTTATAAGAGTATTAACTCCACGCTTTTTGCTTGCTGTTATCACAATCCAATCTTTTATTTCAATAAAGATGGCACCCATGTCAAGTTATTTGTTTACCTCTGTCCAAGTGAGCTTGTGGAGGTGGTTCTTGACCTTGGAGGCCTGTGTTCCTTGCTATCCATCACCCAGCCAACATGGCTCTCCTGGGGTGGGTTCTTGCCATGACGAGTCTTTCGTTTCCTGGGAGTCTGAAATAACAATAAGATTCAATGAATCGTTGTCACAGAAACAACCAATCAGATTGATTGCATAATTGATACAGCCATAATATCATAAGAGAAACCAGTCAAACTGAATGATACGACAGTATCTGACAACTGTTAAAATAAGACAAGGCATTGACAAGCAAAATGTCACCATCTGCCATTTGTTAGACACCAAACACCATCCATTCGCAAAAAAAAAGTTCAGAGATTTACAATGCAATGTGTGGTGACAAAAAAAGTTGAATAGCGTAGATGTATTATTTGCATCAGTGTATTTTTCTCATCCTATCTGACACAGAGTTCTAATTGAGTACATAACCCTGCGCCAGTAAGAAGGATCTATTGGATAACATCATTTGCAAACTGTTTACTCTCCTCCAAATACATATCAACAAGACATTAACATACAAAATGTCATCACCTGCCATTTGTTACAGATGCTGAATGCCCAAGGCAAACACTTAACGCCAAACAACAACCATGGAAAGCCGCCAGTTGGGAGACCATAACAATATGACACAACTTGTGGTGGTGACATAAACATATTGTGTTTTATAAAATATCTGGAAATTTCATTCAGTTACCTGTGGATCGGGTCCTTTGTCTTTGACAACTGGATAGAACCTGGGTGCCTCTTGTTGGTTCTTTCGTGGAGTGCGAGGTGTGCGGGGAGTTTTGGGAGTAACATCCTTAATCTGAACGGGAAGCGATGTCGCCTGGTCAGGGATCTCCTGATGTGCTCCTGATGCTGGTATTGCTATTTCTGGAAGTGGGAAACGGGAGAATATGTATGTCTATATTATCATGCAGGTGTGATTTTTCCTTTAAAAAACACTTTGAGTGGAAGAGGTTGAAATACCCCAGAATTCATAGATGGAACTTTGTCCATGCAAAAATGAACTAGTAGACTACATGTACATCTTTTTAAGGGGGGGGGGCTTTTAAGGGGGAATAAATTTACTGAGAATTGCTTCAGGTGGAGACCTCTTTTAATCGAGGCAAAAACTTTCCTTGTTACTTGTCCTATTTTCTATGGAGTTCAAAAATGCATCATTGACATTTGATTTGATTTGTTTTAGCACTGTACCTTGTGATATCATTATGTTGAGAAAAATAATTTTCATTCTTTGAAATGAAATATAGTATTGAATGATTTTTGAATCATTGTATTATATTAAGAAACATATTGAATATTATAGATGTATTATTTGCATCAGTGTATTTTCTCATCCACTCTGAAACAGGGTTCTAATTGAGTACATAACCCTGAGCCAGTCAGAAGGATCTATTGGATAACATCATTTGCATATACGGAACTAAACTCAACTTAAAGAATATACAGGTCGTTCAATAAGTAAAGCTAATTTTGCTCTAAAACTCTAAATAACATATGGAACTGGATGAATCTTTAGAATATATAACTTACCTTCAGTATGCATGGGTGGAGGGGGAGGGGGTACTGTTTGGGCTGGCAGTTTCTGGTTTGGAACAATACTTTCAAACTGTTCCTTGGTGATCACTTGGACTGTCTTGTTGTCTTCTTCCCATTGTAAACCATCCTACAAGATAATCAAGATGTGCTTATAATAAGATTAACGGATTTGTGTCGCCCAGTAGATCAAGATAATGATGACAATATAGGACTTACAAAAAGTGTGATGAAAAGAAATAATTACTATGGTGCTATAAAAAATGTGGAGAAATGCCCATTATTTATCATGGAAACAAATTGGTTGCCCATGATTTTTCTAAACCTTAACATTTCTCAATCATTTTTTGTTGTTGCTGTCAAACTGAAGCACTCAAAGCAGTGTCTTCACAGGATTTTTCTCTCTAAAATTGGCCAAAATATGTCCATTTTTCATGATTTTTCTAATTATCAAGTGGGTGCAAATAGATTTTCAGGCGGGTGCAAGCCTCTTATCAAAATCTCAGGTGGGTGCTGCGCCCACTTGCTTTAATGCTGGGGAGATCCCTGCAAATATATATGTCCAAATATCCACTGTAAACTTATCGTAATGCAAATCATCAGACTTTGGATTGGAGAAAATGTTCAATTTTGTAAGCAGATCACTAGAGCCACTACCCTATAAGAGGGAGCTGCTAGGGTGTAGTGATCAACTATATACTGTAACAGGGGTTTGACCCAGTGAAGGTATGGACAACCAACACTGGAACACACCCTGTATAAATTCAATCCTTTTTAAATATGTTAAATATTTGAATTAATTTTATGGAAATGTTGCGCATAAATTGCAATGATCTTCCCCATGGTTTTCAATATGCAGGACCTTTAATCCAACTTTCTCCTCAGTGCCATTGATCTGCTCGCCACTCGAGGGCATCATAGTTGAAAATTGGAAAAAAAGAAAATCTTCAACACTTGCTTTTAATAAACTTAATTTCCTATTCCTTACCTCTTCCCAGAGGTCACTTTCATAGTAATACAAGCCATCGTTAATTTCTTTCGCCAACTCTTGTGTTATTTTTGCCCTGGGGACATAATCTCCTGTGCGATCACCTCCTGGGTGTTTTCGGTAAGCAGGTGGCGTCTGGGTGACGATAAGAATTTTATTGATTTCTTGGTCATCAATCTCATCATCGCTATCGTCATCATTCCTACAATTGCAATTACATTTTTTTATCAGCAACAGTACGTCTTAATTTTTCCAGACATGAAGATTCTTTAAAACAGACCATATTCTCTATGACTTTTTCTATCAAGTTAAAAATAGGTAAGGACTGTTAAATATTCAAAGGGACTCACCAATCTGTAAATGCATTTTTTCGTCCAAATTGTCCTGGTTCCATTTCTTCATCAAACATGAAGTCAAGTTCCTCAGGTTCATCCTTCTGCAAAAACATATTCAGCACATTAGTGACCGGACTTCGCAGCGTCAACTGACTGTTGAATATTTTATTCTTGTTTACTCCTTTCATGAGTCCAGGTAATATAATACTTGGAGTGGAAGCCTCTTGGAATCATCCACGAAACTTTGAATTATGAAATTGATAAGAGGCATTCTAATTTCAACGTGATTGTGAATACAGATGTAACTGACTCCGGTAGGGCATGACGCATGAATCCCATTAGAAGGATATGTTTATGCCTTTTTTAAGTAAAGGATTCATCACAGATTTATTCAATTGCAGAATCATTTTGAAGTACATATTGTTAGCTATTTAAATAGATTTCATTGCAGAATAACGTGTTGCTCAAATATAAATCATTTTGACAACATTTTGATAGATAAAAACTTGTAATTCCTAATTGTAGCCTAACAAAATCTAATGTTACTTCAAGCACACCAACCTACGACATCACCATGTTAATTATTCAACTATCAAAACACCACACCTGAGGCCTCAATAAATAGTCATGTTCTAGACCTACAAGTCAAAAGGGTTCATCTACATAGTTTCTAATTGGGAAAGAATGAGTCCCATAATTTAAATTTTTGTGAAGAAATAGATATAAAGGGTGCAAGGGTAAGTAAGATGAAATACACAACAATGGAGGTTGTATCACATCCCATGATGCCCCATTCTTGGCAACCAAAACCCATTGGGTTGACAAGTGACACACAACCTCCCTTATTGCTACGATAGAACACTCTCACACCTCTTTTACTTGAGAAGGGATCTTTTTTTCAGGTTTTGGCTTGCGACGTTTATTCACTTCCATCCATTCTCCCTGTCGCTCAGGGGCACTGGAGGATAGACCGGGGGTGTGGCCTCCCACAGATAACCCTGTGGGGTCAGACTCTGCGAAATGATCGTCTTCATATTCATCATCATCGTGGGCCCCTAGTCTCGCTCCAGGTGAAGTTGGGGCGGATTCTGTAATTAAAATCATTTTATTGAATTATTTATTTTCTGGAGTTCACAATTTTTTAATAGTAATGGTAAAAAGATTGATATTCTACATCGAAATGTTACACAGATACTTATGTTAAAAATGTAACTAAACTCCTCTATTGGAGACATGGATATATAAATCAGATTTGCATCAGTGTATTTTCTCATCCACTCCGACACAGGGTTCTAATTGAGTACATAACCCTGAGCCAGTCAGAAGGATCTATTGGATACATCATTTGCAGAAAAGCATGCATCCATGGTTGACATGTACAGTAAAATTAGCAATCAAATTGCAAATCAAATACATATAGATATGAACCACCACATATCAATCATGCAACACCACATACCAGTTTCTGGCAACTGTGGTGGCACATATGCTCGGCCCGGAACAAATTCTGGCACATCAGCGTGGAGCTGTGACACGGAAACAACTGGATCCAATGGCCATGATGTTGGGTCATGGAGGGCTCGTACTTTAATGTGATCCTCAGAGAGTTCTACCTCTGTACTGCCCACGACACTCTGGAAGTAGATAATCTCCATTAATTTTCTATAAGGCTGAATTTATACTTGTTTACACTTTTTATTGACGAATTAAAATAAAAAAAAAATCTGGAAAAGGGTGTCGTTATGCATTATGTGTAGCAGTATGGGCAAAACCTAGCCATTAAAAGAAAATGTTTGACGGAGCTTACAATTTTTGAATTGCCAACATATGATTTGCTCAGCATATCTAAAACTAAGACTAATGTCTAGAGTTTCATACCAAAAAGCAAATGAATCGATCATCAAGCGTAGGTATATATAGCATTGCATCAGTACATTTTCTCATCCACTCTGACACAGGGTTCTAATTGAGTACATAACCATGAGCCAGTCAGAAGGATCTATTGGATAACATCATTTGCAAATCTGCATGCCATGATCAAGGATTTGTCATATTTTTAATTTGCAATATCATCATGTCATGGGAAAATAAACCTTTTACTTCATAAAAACAACCGAGCTCAAGTTCAGTGAGTAAATTCTGTCTGTTTCTACACCACATTTTGTCAGATTTTTGAAACTATGATTGTGTAGAATTCTGGGGATTGATCATATTATAAATTTTAGAAATTTGATTTATTGAGAACTGGGGAATAGTAGGACTAATCATTACTATATAATTGGGAGAATTACTTTCATCTGTTCAACTTAGGAACTGATCATTTTGTTTACCTCTATGATCGCCTTGACGTCCTGTGTTAGCGCCTGTACCCTGTGGAAGCTTGCAATCAGACTCAATGGGATCCAACCGTCAACATCCATTTTACGTCGCAAGAAGAAATCCCGCTGAAGATTCTCTATGCTAAAGTAGTATTCACTGCCAAAAAAGAACAGATTTGTCAGCGCATGTATCATAATGAAACATTGAAAAATTAAAATTATTTTTTGAACTAATATTTAGATTCTTTCGCATTCATATCCTTTGATATCTCAAAACATGTAGAAAACTTGGATTTCAAGCCTATCTGGCCAAAGGTCTCAGACTGGAAAAACTTTTTAATGAGTGAATGTAGGTGTGTCATATGCATGATATGAATGAATGTCATGTGACTGGATGGGTTTGTGTGTCGAATTGGTATCTTTGTATTTCTATTTCTTTTGTAACAACTGCTCCTAGCAAATCACTTGTATCTTGTCTTGTGTATATTGAAAGTAAAAAAATAAAAAATAAAGCCAGTAAAGACGAGCTAACTTACACTTGTTTTCTAACGTAGTCCTTCATAAGGGGGTCCTCTGATTTCATATATTGCACATTGTTAAAAAACACAGTTCCCCCAGCGTAGGTGTTGGCTAAAGCAGGGTCCATTTCAAAGAATCCTGGTACTTCAAAACATATAATAGACAAATTTCAGGGTCAGTACAACATTCGACACAGAATATAATTTCATTCAGGAAATTACAGAATGAAACTTCCAAGCATCCAATATCTTAACTTCAGTTATATCTCAGGATATAAGTGCTTCTTTTTCTGCCCCATTACACGCTGTTTGTCAACTGGAAAGATCTTGCTTTCACCAACTGGAGGTGTCTAAATATTTGTTTAACTGAAATTTGTAAATGAATTTTCTGTTCCTTAATGAGGTAATATTGATAATTAGTTTTAACTTACTTTCTTCAGGTTTGAACTCTTTGTGTTCAAATGACCGTGCACCACGCCCTCTGCCTCTACCACGCCCTCTTCCTCTGCCCCTATATCCACCACCACGCCCTCTAAATCGAGGGCTTGGTTGATCCTCATCTGCATGATCTCGCCAGTTGGAGGAATTGGAACCTGCAGAAAGGAAAGATGTTTTGAAAAAATTGCAACGTTTTCAAGATTTTATCTCCTAAAAGTCAACATATAAGAGCTTCAGTTAATAAATAAATATCACTCATATTGTGCCTTTCTTCCTACAAAATGTAGATATGCTCCAATTTGTATATTCAATGAGAATATTTTATTCAGTGTAGTTGCATCAGTGTATTTTCTCATCCACTCTGACACAGGGTTCTAATTGAGTACATAACCCTGAGCCAGTCAGAAGGATCTATTGGATAACATCATTTGCAGTATATCTGAAGAATTTAAGCATATCACATAATATCAGTAATGGTACCCATCCCCTTTATCAGCCCCAATGTAAATACAAATAGCTAGGTACAGCTTGGGGAAATTCTGAGAAAAAGAGCAATCAAATGGCCAAGGAAAATATTATTGAATTTCTAGACACTAAATGCAGAATAAGGAGACTAGTTTAATTACATGATTTGTGAGCCTGTCTGATACCAACCCCCAGAAAATGCTTTTAATTGATGTATATAGAATATACTTTGACATACAGTTAATTGAAACTTGTGTATGATATTCCCTATTCCTTGAGAAACAAACAGGTGGTTAACTTAATACAAGTAGTGAGCCTTAAATGACACATCATACACTTGATTATAGGCTAGACTTCACCATATGTTAACTCTTTAAACTATTACAATGGAACCTTAGAATATCCAAATAACTTTCTAAAATCAAACACCTCTCAATGAGCAATGAGATCAATTTTTCTCGGTCCCAAATTTTTTTTATCTCCCATTCACATATGTTATTGAAAAAATTAAAATGCTAATCTGAACACATTTGGCTTGTCCTTGTGGCATTCAGATTAGAAGGATTCTATTTTACCCTCCAAGTCACAGCCTTATACTGTACTTGTACAAGGCGTCAAGGATAGATAGATATATAGTGACTCCAATATCCCTTTCATTCATTATGAAAGCCAAGGAAGACAAATAAATTATGCAATGGAAACAGGATTGTTTTCAATGCATTAGTATGATAATAAAACTTGTCTAGACTTCATGCATCCCTAATCAATTTCTCAATATTTTCATATTCTTTGATCATTTGTCATCAACTCTGTATGGTGATTAACAGCATCATTATTTGAAATGTTCATATCAAGGGCCTATTATAAAGATTCAAAGTCAGGTCATTAAGAAGTAATTAAGGGCAAAATCCAGAGATAATGACAAACAAGCCAAGCACAATTAATTTAATGTCGGCTAGATTTATTTATGAAAACTATTGCAGGATGTCACTTACCTCTTTCCTTCTCTTGCATCTCACGATCAGCCCTCTCTGAGCGATTGTAGCGATCGCTACGTGTACGAGCATCTTTACGGCCCCGGGGAGAGCCTGTGCCGTCATTCCTAGCCCTACGGCCAGGACGGTCCCTTGCGGGCAGCTCAATTTCCATAGGCACCCATTTGCCTTTTTTACCATCTGAAATGAAGCCTACAAATATTGAAAACAGTTTTGAGTTTTTGATGAGAAAACTGCAACTCCACAGAGTAGCAAATCCCGCCGAACAAAACATGTTTTGATAAGTAGCCATCTTGAAAATTTCTTCTTTTGTCTCTGGGTATCAAAATATAAATTTTGAGCCAAATCCTTTGACTGGTATTTGAGTTATCAAAAATAATTTATGGCGGCCATTTTGAAATTCAGCTGCCAATCTTCTTTCGGTAAGATAATACAACCTAAACAGACTTGTTTCAAGTGATGTTCTTTCTTATCATTTACTATTAATATTTCTCTAACAATTACAATTTTGTCGTTTTCAAAAATAAATATGTATGAGAACTAAGCGACAGCCTATAGCAGGGGGGTCTACAGGCTGCTATTAAGTCTCAGTTCATTTGGCACAAAATCTAAAGGCAGATAAGTACAGAAACTACATATGCCTGAGTACATGTGCGCTTGAGACAAAAATTAATTCATTTCAGGATTCATTTATTAGCAAAAGCGCTCTAGCAGTGCTTCAAACAAATGATGGACTTGAAGGCTTCACAAGATGGCAATTCCTAACTGGGTCATTTACAAATTCCAACTGTGTTGGATAATAACTTCATGTAAATATTTCTCCAATTAGACTTAATAACAAAACACAACATGAAAAACCTAATTATATGAACACATCTTGCGATAAGCTGATTTGGGATCAGCAGGCATAGAAATGACTGCACAATATTGATCCCTGGATCTAGGTATAAAACAACATCAGTTATCAGTGATAAACATCGCACTTTGAAGAGCAAAATGGTTGCCACATAATTTACCCAGCATGCCCAAACCCTAATCACATATTGGCACTAGTTTGCTCTTGCATCTGTAAAATGTCAAGTTGATTGGATAAGTGGTTTCCTGTTTTTTGTGACTTTAAAAACCCACCCACCCAGACACACACCCAGCAAAACAGAACTATGAGAATACTCCAATGTTTTTCAAAGTTTCATAAAAATGCACTGTTGAGTGCTAAGGAACAGTAAACAAGCAATTTGATTGATTAAGCATATCTGGTCATACATGACCATATTTGGTCACAGCTGAATCAATGTTCCTGAATGCTAAATGACCCAACACAAAATTGCCATTTATGGACTGTTGGCTTGGTCATTTGTCCGATCATTTTGGTACTTAGAACTCACCTTTTTTCTTAGGCGTCCTGCTATTCTCCTGAGATCCATTACTATTCTCTTTATTTTCTTTGGCAGAATCATCACCCCCGGAGTCTGTTTGGGACTGGGAGTCTGGGGGTGGGGCCCTTGGAGATTCTTGAGTCTCCTGGGGCTCAGGGCTAGGTGCCTCTGGGAGGGGAGGGCTGGCACTTTGGGCAGGTCGCTTCTTGACTGCTGCATCTGTGGGCTGAAAATAATTTCAATTTATTTCAATAATTTGTATGAGTTAAAATATGATTTGATTTGGCACAATGATATCAATTTATTGTTAAATATTCATAAATTACAACTTTATTCTATTTCTAAAGTACTTTCAGATGTATTGGTGAATCAACATTTCTTTGGATTAATTTCCTGAAGAAAAAAATAATGGTGTACGAGACAATTGATTATCTTATCAAAGATGGACATTTTTTATTTAACTCTGTTCACTAAATCTCTCTTTGTGCCAATTTTCTTAAATTTCATACTTGCCATTTATATATATTTTAAATTTTGGAATGGTTCCAAAAACACATTTTTTCTGCATCTCTATGATTCTATTTTCATAAACAAGTACATGTACACATTGATGAGTAACTGATTAAGTTCTATTTTTATGGAGAGATGTACTCAAAGTAACTTACCTGTACCACTTCACCAAGGGTGGGCCATTGTTGGGGGTCCGCAAAGGCCTGCAAGTAATTAATACAAAAATATTAAAATCAATATCATTCAATATAACAATCTGATCCATCAGATGATCACATCATACAGATTACCAAGACAGGTGCTTATGCAGGCTAAATGTCTGTTTTGACCAATCACATATAACCCTAGCAAAGTGATACTGCACAAAATCTTTTGCGATATGTGGAAACAAATTAAGCACGATATGTGAAAACAAATTAAGCACGATATGTGAAAACAAATTAAGCACACGACTCAATGAATTCCAAACTTGAATTTGTGCATACCAAACTCATTTGAAGCCTGGAGACAAGACATACAAGATGTACATGAACATTGTTTTTTAATTTATTCCCATGCTTAAATCCTTTAATAATCTCATATTCTTCTTCAGTATAGAATATATACCTTTGAATCCTATGAAATAATATGTCAGATCAAGATCATGCCTTTTTTACTCAGACCTATTTTCTCGAGGCTGAATTATTATACCTTGGCCTAGATCATGAACATTCTAACTGGAACTTCATATATAAAAGGTTACAGAGATAAAATTCAGTCAATTACACAACATGAAGCAACCAACTGATAACCCAGAATGATGAAATTTCTCAAATGATAACACTAAATAAATTTCAGCCTTATTAGCCTATATAAATTATGTCGTCATATGGTCCCACCTCGCCCCTGACTTGGCCTTGCTCTCTTTTTCTATAGATGAGGACAACAACAGAATGAAAAGATTTTTCATTTTAATCATTAACTCCTTATGTGATAAAAAAAACACAGATGTTATACAACTACAAGTATAATGTAAAACATGTACATGATTTGGAATCAATATATATATAAAATCTCTGATGTGAAACTGACACATGTTTAGCTGAATATACATTTAAATTAAAGAAATGTAAATGTCATACAATGCTATTGTATACAGAATATATACAGGTTGCTTCAGGCAAAATGTTCTGTCTTCTATTTACATCAATCAAACAGTTTATTATGCGAAACAAAGCTATGAAGGATACTGTAGGTTAAGTTCATTCAAAAATAAATGTTTGCTTCCTGAGGTTTAGTGAACCCCTCCTTCTCAATGGCCTTTCTACTTCCAACATGTGGAGTTGGGGCGTGTCAGGGTGTCACAAGTAATCCAGTATAAAACAGCACAGTTTACAAAAACAGGGGTTTCATTAGCAGCAGGAAACAGGCGATTTTCACTAGTTGTTTTCACAAAATCGCCTGTTGTTTTTAGGGACTTTTCAACTTTTCTATGTTAAATTTATAATTTCCATTAATTTTGCCAGTTGTTTTCATTCATTTAGCCTGTTGTGAGAAATTCTAGTGAAACCCCTAGAAATGACCAAAATTATAATTCAAGCGGATATAATACAACATACAGACTCTTGGTTTATAACAATGGTTCAACCACATTTCTTCCTGTTCCCATTTCCTGATTTTCAAGAAAATGAAAATGTATGAGAACTAAGCGACAGCCTATAGCAGGATGTCTACAGGCTGCTATTAAGTCTCAGTTCATATCGCACAACATTTAAAGGCACATTCAGATAGAAACTAGATGTGCCTGAGTACTTGTGCTTCATTTCAGAAAATAATCAGTTTGCGAATGTAACATCTCATCTGTTAAATGAGCTGATTCAATAGTGTCTCCCTAAATATATCCATACTTGATTACCAGTTTAATTTTCAACATTTTGGGGGTTCCATTTTCGCATTTTGGAGCATAATAATGCATTGAATGATAATTTTAAAAGCTTTTCACTTCTTTTAAAATATTTAAATATATATTTATTTATCGAAAACTTCAAACCTTGGTAATCTAAGATGAAATATATCGCTACTTATCAACTTCAATTTGACAGAACTACAGAGACAGGCACAAGGTAGACTTATGTTTATTTTACTTATTTTATTTATTTGTTGAATCATTTGTTACAAGAGCATGCCTTGGGGAAATATGTTTTCTAAACATCACAAGGTCAAAGATGCAATAAAGTACACTACAGTTTGCTCATTTGAACATTCTATCTACAGGAGAAAATTCAATGAGACTCAACTATAACTGAGAAAGCAATTCGAAAATAAGAGGGTTCCATTTTTTGAGTAACCCTGTAGAACCCAGTTGTGGTGAAGATTAATGTAACGCCCGACTCCCTGACCAAACCCATACACAGGAACAAGATGACAAAAATATGGCACCTTTTCTAAGTGTGATGAAAACCTGGGAACTAATGAGGCCTTATATGAGACAACAATATGTATGCTTACAGGGGTTCAATTAGCAGCAGGCAACAGGTGATTTTCACCAGTTGTTTTCACAATATCCCCTTTTTGTTTTTCATGTATAAGTCATTGCGCATAATTAGATCACGTGATTCAGTTTAATCGGGCGCTTCCAAATTGGTTATAGCAGGGGGAAGAAGGAGGTACGGATTCTGGATACCTGCTTAAGAGGATGGCTGTGAGAAATTATAGTGAAACTCCTGAATATGGCACTTTTTCTTAGAGTAATGAAAACCTGAACTAAAAAGACCTTATAAGAGACAAGAATATGTATGCTTACCTTTTCCTTTTCTGCAGGTTTCACCACTCTAGCTACAGATTCTGGCTCTGTTCCTTTAGGACCTGCCTTCCATACAGAGGGAGGGGGGTCTGGCACTGGAAGGATCTGTGTTTCTTTAGGTTTGCCCCCATCATTCTTCTCAGCTAATGCTGGAAACAATGAAAGAAATATGAATATTTTTGAAGTACATGTATGGGCAAAATTCAATATTGTCACTATTATGCACACACACGTGCGAAAGGAAAGGTGTTACAGAACTATGAACCCAGCTATATTGTCAGTTTGCCTAAAAAAAGTCTGATTTCTACTAAAGGTTTTCTAGCCTCTTATCAAGACAATACAGTGAAACTTGTTATTGTTATGTGGAACACCTCTAGGAAGGGAACACCTCTGTTATTTGAACACTTTTCAGAGTCCCAAGACGAACTGACTTAATGTATAAGTGGAACACCTCCCAAGTTGAACACTTATATACCAAAGGTGTTCCACTAGACAGGTTTTACTATACATTATTACTGGTAAGTCGATGCAAGCTCATTTATCATTGATTTCACACAACTTCCTTTTGATTCCATTAGCACAGAACAAAGAAGTTAACTTTATGATGAGGGATCACTTTAAAGGTGTTCATTATCACTAGCATTTATTCTTTGGAGCAACTGCTGACCTTGACAATGACCTTTTCAATACTTGATTTGCTTCGTCTGATAGTACATCCACACCTCCAGGCTCCAAGATATATCAAACAGTACATACTATAAATACAAGCTAACTGATGAACTAGCTTATAGTATTTGGCTTCAGAATTGAAGTTAAAATAAAATACATTGAGCAATGGTTTAGTATTACTGACTGCTATATGATACTATATCTAGTAAGGATTCGACTGTGTAAAACCAACTGTATCATATTTTTTTTCTCCTTGACCTTCTAAACTAAATAAAATTGTCATGTTATGATAAAATGTTCTATTATTATCAAAAGAGGTTTTGAAAATGGTAGCAATAAGCTAACACAGGAGTCAAATTAACTTTATAAAAAAACAGAATTTAATAACCTTTACCATAACTGTTAATACATGTATATTATGCAAGCCTGTATAACGACTTTCACCGTTGTTAGTATAACTCATCAATCACCTGGATAAATAGTGTCATACCCTAGGCAATTAATGATAAAAATACTTTTCATGTTTGCTGTATTAAATTTTCAATATTTGTAAAACACAAAGTCCTGCATTTACCCCTGTATACCCATTACCCCCTCTCTATTAGTAAGAAGGTTGAGAGAGGCAATGGGGGGGTATAGGGTCTAAATACAAGACTATACTGTAGTATTTAGGAGATAACATTTTTGGCAACTATCCTAGATTCAGATGTAGGTTACTCGCTACTTACGACCTTGAGATTTAATAGTACCAAAGTTTATGTTTTTGAAGCTGTTCATTGACTGACTATGATGTTATTACCTTCTAAATAAAACTGATGTGAAATCATGTTTGATAATGCTAAGCAGTTTGCAAACATGATAACTGACATCCTAAATTTTACTTTTCACCCTTTATTATAAATTCTGAATGTGAGTCGAGAGTTAATTAAAGTTCTAGTAAAAGCTCTCTTGTCACGTACTTGTTCATCTATGTTTCATCCAGGACAGACATTAACAATACATAAGACAGTAACGTGATAAAATGTAACCATCTGTTTAGTAAGTGCAAATCAATGGTTACAAAAGTGTGACATTAGTTACAGATGCTGACTCCGATATCGAATAAATCACAAAAATGGTAGTTAAATTTATTGTCACTTAAAATTGATCAATGTTGGTAGGACAAGACTGTTTTTATAAAATGATCAACAAAAATGATATTATCTGAAGGGCAAATGGGACATTAGTGTTGCTCTTAAAGTAACTTCTAATACAAGAATTCAACAATGTTGGACAGAGAGGTAAAATGTAATTAAATTCCCTTCCCTTTGGACAATAATAATAAAGGTTCTTTTTCAAAATCTTAAAAATTGACTCAAATCTGAAATTGTCCAAATCTCAAGCTTACCCAAAGTGAATATTTGCACAAAAATCAAAGTCTGACAAAAATATGGGATTGATACAACATGTATGGAAGTTGAAGAAAATCAGATATGTTACTTTTCTTCAAATGACGGAAGACACAAATCCTGATAACAAGCAGTCATGATAACTAAATCCCACCAGTGGTGTGACAAAAACCGGATGGGGGTGGGTAATAGAGGTTAGCTATATAAGATTAAGACCTATTTTTTAGCATTTAACAGTTTATAGTCATGTAATTAATCACTGTAACAAGGCAAATCATGATTGTTCCCATAGTCTAAACTTGACTGAACACAATAATAGTATAGCTTGTAAAAAGGATAAAACAACATAAATATGATTTATCACGATTCAACAGTTAAGCTGAAATGTTTCCACCATATCCTAAATATTTCTTGGGTTGGTGCCTCTACTAAGTAAATAAGTAAACAATAAAATTTGGAAAGTGTCGTTTCTACATTTCATTGAAATACTTTGATTTTGAATAATGCATGTTTTCTACCATATTGTATAAATATCTACTCGTTTCTACATTTCATTGAAATATTTTGATTTGAATAATGCATGTTTTCTACCATATTGTATAAATATCTACTCGTTTCTACATTTCATTGAAATATTTTGATTTGAATAATGCATGTTTTCTACCATATTGTATAAATATCTACTCGTTTCTACATTTCATTGTCGTTTCTACATTTCATTGAAATATTTTAATTTGAATAATGCATGTTTTCTACCATATTGTATAAATATCTACTCGTTTCTACATTTCATTGAAATATTTTGATTTGAATAATGCATGTTTTCTACCATAATTGAGAGGTTAAGCTTTGCATATATAATCGAAACTAAACCTGTACGTATCACTCGACCATATACAAATTCATGTAGCCTTCTCATATAAATAGCCGTTCAAATCCAGTGTTTGTTTAGACTACACCATAGCGTGATATGATTCTATAGTATGTCATTGATGCGGTTTTATAGCTGGTCTTCTAATACATATTTTAAACGAACTCGTTTCGTAAGATTTTTGGCGCTAAATCATGCATGGCATACATCATCGTGTTCAGCAAGAATTCAACTGTGCATCGAAATCAAAATTGACAGCATAGTGTTCAATAGACACGAGTAAAATGGTTCCCGTTGACCCAACGTCAAATTTCAAAATCTCCCGTTCTAAACCCGAAACTCTGAAGCTGAAAGAGTATCTGAAGTAGACTAAGCGCGCATAAAACTATGAGCGCTCGATACATTCCTTTGTTAATTTTTCTACTTTGCGTTCACGGTTACGTTGTGAAAAACATCGTTAGCTTAACCTCTCCATTGTATAAATATCTACTCGTTTCTACATTTCATTGAAATATTTTGATTTGAATAATGCATGTTTTCTACCATATTGTGTAAATGTCTACAAAAATGTAATAAAATTTTTAATCAACTACAGGTGATTAAAAATATGAAAATAACATTCTCAACACGCAAATGTCATTTCATCAATATCTAGCTAGATAATAAGTCTTGTAAAATAATAAACTGCTTTATTGCAAGATAACAACAATATTGCTTATGTAACTGATCAGCATTAACAAACAACACAATCTATTTAAAGCAAAGTCGCATCCTGGAATATACAGGAGTTTAATTAATTATGATATTTACATATTAATTAAACATTACGTTGGACGTGTTAGATTTGACATATATGGCTTTAGATACCTTGTTCTGCCCAATTAATGCCCTGGATGGGAAGACGTATGTCTACCTTAGAAACATGCTTACTGTCATATTAAAAATTCCCAGGGTTTAAAGCAAATAGGCAATGCATCTACTTTGAGAGATTTTAACCAATTTGTACCTAACCCAAACCCCATTTGAAAATGAGATGTTGCAACCATTTGGCGACCCCCCTGGTATATTGATTTACAAGTATACATTGAGACAGAATTATGACTGGAATAGGTCACTTCACACTGGGCAACTGAATAGAATGGAAATTGTTTGGACCAAAAATGATCTCCAGTTCTGACCTTACTCTTCCCTATATACATGTGTATTCAAATTCCCCACAACCACACATGGGGTGTAGTGGGGGGGGGGAGGTTATTCCTAAACTGATTTCATGTTACATGTATAATATATTATAAACAGTTAAACCTGTCTTAGTGAACACCTTTCTCTAGTGAACACCTGTCTAGTGAACATCCCTTCTCAGAACATACTCTACTCACTTCTGTATAAAATTGCCTCTGTAGTGAACACCTATCTACAGTGAACACATTTTTGTGGCTCTATAGGTGTTCACTGCACAAGTGTTACTGTACTATATAGTACCAGTGATCTCCACAGGATTTTTTCCCAAGTGGGTGCAAAATTCTCATTTTCACAATTCAGACCAAAAAAAAAAAAAAAAATTATCATGATTATTTGTCATGAATTTTCTCATTTTCAAGTGGGTGCAAATGGATGGATTTTCAGGTGGGTGCAAGCCTATTTTCAAAATCTCAGGTGGGTGCTACATCCACTTGGTTAATGCTGGGGAGATCACTGAGTTCTACATGCAAAATATGCCTACCTGACCCTCTCATCTTATTTCTATTTTGTTTAAGTCTCAGTTGAACACTACTGCTTCACATTGTCACCTTCCATATGTACTTATTCCCTGTATATTTCAAACACCAAATAAATCCTTTTTTCAGTTTTAATCGATGCTCTTTTATATCCGATCACTTGCATCTATATAATATCAATTCAATAGCATTAATGTTATGTCTACATCAGTTTACAATCCAAGAGAACTGGCAATTTTTTTCTTTTTATTTGACCATATGTCTGAATAAGCCATGCCTTTAACTGTTCAATGTTCACTGCTATCTTAGCTGCGATATCATTAAACATATGTAAGTGCATATATTGTATGTCGCGTTGTATGTTGAAAATCAATAGGGCTGCTATACCAATATTAATTGAATATTATTAATAGATTCCATGCCCTTATAAAATTATATTTAACTTACCGTTTAAATTAATGTTAATAATTTTGGCCATATCTAGACAACCAATTTAGTAAGAGTTAAACTTTTTTAATCATTTTGGAATCAAACTCGCCATTTTTTGCACATCCAGTAATTGTTTAACAACAAAAGGGCACCTATTCAAATGATCTACGAAAAGTAAATATACATGAAGTATAACATAACATTTATCAAGGGCTTTAAGTTTCTCATGATTTAAAATGTCTGATTTGCTAGCATAGAACTACATGTACATATCAATTTTGTATCAATTGCGGTTATCATACATGTACCAGTATGACTATTCCATTCATGAAGTAATTTATGATAGCATGGTATTAGAAGGGAAATTGCTGCATATGAATTACAATAAACCAATAACATATCACTACATTGACTGATATCAAGCTGAAAATATTATACCTGCTGAAACCATGAATGAACATATTTTAAGGTGAAATACAGTAACATGTACATATATACTACAGAAAAACTAAATCAATGAGAAAAACATGAACTTATTCAAAAATTTATGAAAATTTGAATTTTTAGATATAAATGAAACCATCTTTCTATCTTTGAGAAAAGTTTTATTTCAATGGTGGAAGATGGTACTTTAACCTGATTCTTTTTTATTCACACATATGCATATTAGTAACTCAATACAGATGCATGCTTTTATTGTAAAACCAATACATTTATTTGCATTGTGATCAATATTTTATAAGCCTGTGGTTTAGTGTTTCTAATTTTATTCCTTCCTTTTATGGAATCTTATTTGTTAAGTTAAGTTCAGCATTGTATGACTATCTCACTTTTTGACAATTGTCTGAATTTAGATGAATCTGGAGGCGTGTCTCTCTAGACCAATGAACATTGATTATTCTCTCCTTAACACCGGTGCTATAGTAAATACTAGATCTCCTCCCTTCAACCAAAAGCAAATGCTCATTCAGAAACACTTCAAGGTGGTGAAGCTGAGGATGACTTGGTGATATACAAAATGAACACCATTCAGTAAAGTCACATGGGGATTCTTTATGCTAATTCCTTCATTCTGGTGCTAACACTATGCACTTGTTATCAACGATGTATGAACTATGGAAGTATACTTTTCAGGCCTGTAGCCGCTTTCCCAGGAGGTTCACTTTTTAAAAAATTCCATGGAGGTTCACTTTTGACAATTATCCAATGTTCCAAAAATGGCCAAAATCTCTTAAAAAAGTGCTAAGAATGGTGAAAAATTGTATGATTTTGAAAGGATTTTTGGCCAAGGGGAGGGTTTGGTCGAACCCTTCCTGGCTCCTGAACTACTTTAATTTTCATAATAGAGGTCAAGATGCAAAAGATGGCCAAATTGCGCAATACAAGGCCAGTTACCAAAAGATGTTATTTTGAGAGAATATCATTTTGGAAAGATTACTACCTGTAGACAAAACAGTACAGTTAATTTCAGAAATTCTCGTTAAAAATTTTGAAAAGTATATTTTATAAACTTATCAGATGGTCCTTTTTCTCAAGTGTTCTAATAGCATCAACACACAGTTAAATGCTATAAATGGTTAAAGTGATTTAAAATGAAATTTATATCCCGACATGAATAGAACTAAATAAGAGCAAACGTCTATAACCTCTCCTAAAAATATATATATACATGACACCTAATTATATGCCATATATAATAAATATACAACAATAAAGATATCTCAAATATGCCTGAACAACCTTTCCAAGCTGCAACATCTTAGGAGAGTCTAATATTAAAATACCATGAGAATCTAATATTTTTAATATTCAAAAACTTTATCAGTACAAGTCATTTTAATCAAAATAAACTTACAGTCTGATTCATAATTCAATTGAGAACTTTGAATCTTAAATAGGCAATCAAAGGACTATATTGCAACAGTATACAGTGAACTCCACAGGATTTTTTCTCAAAATTCATGATTGTTCTCATTTTCAACTGGGTGCAAGTGGGTTTTCAGGTGGGTGCAAGTCTATTTTCAAAATCTCAGGTGGGTGCTGCACCAACTTGCTTTTATACTGGGGAGATCACTAGTATACGAAAAACACCCTAAATTATACAAAAGGCCGCAGGTTAGCTGCACATTATACATAACTATCTGAGATTTACAAAAGTTAGGTCTTGTATGTTATGTTTCTATTTTTTCATCTACTGTTGCAATGTGGTCCTTTGATTGCTTATTTTTTAGATTCAAAACTTCTCCACAGAGTTGTGAATCAGACTTTAAACAAGGCATTAACATGCAAAATGTCACCATGTGCCATTTGTTACAGATGCCAACTGCTATAAGTCTACAAAAAGGTTGGAGACTATAACAATATATCATTACTTGTGGTGGTGACATAAAAATGACATTTTCTAGTTTTCAAATTTTTCTGAAAGTCATTCTGCATGTTCTAATGTCTTCCTATCTACGAGAAGTTCCCTGGATACACATTTCTCATTTTATACATGGTCTGCATCTTTCAGTGACCTAATTATACAGATACACTGAAATACTGCAAAACTGAAGGATGAAGATCAATATACGAAATGAGTTATCAGTACATGAAAATAACATAGGGACTCCCAATTATGATTGCCATTCAGATATGCCTCACTATAAAGATAAAGATTCTCACCTGATGAGGTGGGTTCTGGTTTAGATTGTGTTTGCTTCACGTTCACAGGTTGTTTAGGAGAGGGTTTCCCTTGTACTTTCTGTGCATTCTTTTGAGCAGGTTTCTGCGATGAAGGCTTTTGCACACTTTTCTGTGAAGTTTTTTGCTTTGGAGCATTCACAGTGTTTGTTTTTTGTTGTGATGTTGGTTTATTTTGCTCCGTTGGAATTGTCTTTGTAGGAGGTGGAGCATTCTTCTTCCACGGGTTTACCTTAGGAGGAGGGGCTTCGATAAATACTTTTGGCTTTGAAGCCTCTTGCTCTCCTTTAGCACTGTCTTTAGAATCAATATTATCAGATTCCCCTTGAATTGGATTGTCTTCCTGAGATGGTGGCGAAACAGGTTCACTGACTACTGGTTTTGAAATAGATTCTGTAGCTCGAGGGCTAGAATCAGACACGGGTGCCTCAGTTTGAGCGAAATCAGTCTTTGGAGCTTGCGCGACTTCAGCCGACATTGTGCAAGTTTAGCTCCTAACGTCAATAATAAATAGATATGTCCTCGAATTGTCAATATCCAATTCACTGGGTATGTAGCTTGCGATACAATATCAGATCTGAAAAAGACAAATGATGCTTTGACCTTCTTTCAGACCATCCTTTTTGGTCATTTGACTGCATGTGTACAACATTGGTGGATTGCATTTGATTTTCCGATTGCAATAGCAGAGACAGAGGCACACCATGTTTATACGGAAGAAATGCAGTTATCAAAGGTCCAAATAAACATAAGTCAACAAGTCTTGTTTTATAAATCAACTTATGCTCATGTACATTGTGTGGCAAAATTTCTCAAATCTGGACTGAATCAGTGAATGAATGACCTTGTCAAAAGTAGGGTAAGTTGTCACAATATCAGAACTACTGATCGATGTGACATCAAGTGGATAAAAAGCAAGGAGGTGATGTGTACACGTACTTCAACGTATATCCTTTACCAAGATTCAAAGTAAAAGAAAGAAACCCTACCAAAATATGATCCATACTTTTCTCTTCTGAAAATTTCACCACGTTGCTCGGAGAAACTGGAACATACAGGTCAATGTTTCTTCTGTTCCCCGTCTTGTTTGAGGTTTCATATGGTCCCAGGCGTTAGCTGGTCTACTCCGCTATTGGAAGACTGTGTTATATGGAGTGTTTATGGTTGCACTTAGACTAACAAGGCTTGGGAAAACAGACATTTGTCTGATACAAGCACATGTCGCCATTAGCACATAGGAAAGGGTCGTATGCGCATGCGTTGACTTTGAGGGTCACGTGGGTCTGGTGTCATCGAGTGCAAAAAATGATCGATCATTCTTAGTAGTGACATCTTTAAAATGTAAGAAATACTACAAATGTCTAGCAGAACGCTTCGATAAATCATGAACAAATGCAGAAATAAACTAATATATAACGCTCCGCAAACATTTGAAATATCAATGAATGAATTCGTTTCAAGTAGTATAATAAAACGCATAATCCTCAGATTGACCTACTCCCCAAAATTCAAACTTGCAGAAGTCTGGAAGTCACATTGTTTCAAGTTTCAGGTATGTTTTGTCTGTTCAGTTATGTAACTGAACACTAATATATGTTATATCTGTAAACGTATGACTAAATTCATCAAATGTTTTATGAAGACTTTGAATTTATTTTGTAAATGTTTGCCTTTGTTGAAAAAGTGTAACTTCAAAGTTCAATCAACTGAATCAAGTAAATCAAAGTGTCAAACTTTTGAGTCTACTTTCAGATTTAAAAATGGATGACTATTTATCCTCTCTTGATCTGTGGAGGAAGCCCATTGCCAAAGATGAAAGCTCACTGTATCGATGCATTGCAGAACAGGTGAATGCAAATTACATTCATGCTTCATTGGACAATTTTTTTCCATCCAAAAAGTAATGTAATTCGGTAAATAAATAGGGAGAAGTATCATCGGTCAATCAGAGATATTGAGAAGCTCTACTTTAAGCTGATTATATACACCAGGCTATGAAAGTAGAATCCCTTTCCATTTCTTCATGGCTTCTGGACATGCATCGCATGATCTGATTGGTCAATTTGGGAAAATCGGGTGTAACCGTGTAACGCATCTGATTTTACGATTGTCTTACATTTACAGTATTATCTGGCCAGATTGTCAAATTTGAACCCCTTCCTTTTTGGCAAAACTCGTTTGAATTGCAAGGAGGATATGGTTCAAGGCATTATATGTTGCATTTTGTTCTAAATCATATTACAGGAGTTAAAATATTTCCTCTTTTAAGGTGTTTTCCACACAAACACGATGGGAGGAAGTGAGGGATGAATGTGAGCACTATATAAAAGAACATGAAGAAGAACTGGAAACTGTAAGTAACTCATAAGTCTCCCATAAGTCCCTGTGGATACTCGAGGTGTCACGGTCCAAAAAAATTTTGGGACGGGAAGGAATGGGACTGACTGTGGGTGCTGCACCCACTTGCTTTAATGCTGAGGAGATCACTGTCAAATTTCATTGAGCAATCGCCATATACTAATAGCATCACTCTCTGAACTTGTTGTGAAACACGATTTACATTTCCATAAGATAGGATAATGTTATCATTTTTATTGAAATACTCCATTCAATTCCATGTATTAAAGTAATAAACAAACAATATATGCTATTGAATGATCTATACCAATAGGTGTGTTAGCTGATGGTGCCACCTTTATATGTAATTAAGCATCCCTTGAATTTTTCCCTATACATGTGTTATCATTGATTTTAGCTCTATTCTTAACATGGCCATAGCGAGAGGGGATCATACTAACTGCGAACCCCCCTCTCCTGACTGTAATTAACCCCCTTTTCATTATAAAATGAATCCCCAGCCTGGAACAATCCCTTTTTGCTGATGGTGCCACCTTTATATGTAATTAAGTGTCCCTTGAATTTTTATCTATCATTGATTGTGTAATCATTGTTTTTGGCTGTATTCTTAACATGGACGTAGCGAGAGGGGACTCGTGCTAACTGCGAACCCTCTCCCCATCGCCTTAATTAACCCCCTTTTCATTATAAAATGAACCCCCGGCCTGGAACAATCCGTCTTTCCGAAAGAACAGAAAAGATTCTCAGAAAGATGAATATTTTTGCATGAACAAATGAATCGCTCATATTTGATGAGGTGCTATATGACGTTCTATACCCGTAAATTGATTTTTTTTTCATTGAAACTGTTTCCGCCGTGCGAACTCACCCCCCCTTTGCTATAAATCGAACCCCTGGCTTTGGCAGAATGTAACTTCTGGCTATGCCCCTGCTTAAGCACCCAACTTATTCTATTTATATATTTAGTTTTTATGTCACCACCAAAAATGGTGACATATTGTTATGGTCTCTGTTTTTTTGTGACAGCGGTGCGTGATCGGCGGTTGGCGATCGGTGTGTGGCGGTTGGCATCTGTAACAAATTCTTAAAACTTCCAATAACTTAACAAGTACTGTTTAGACGGACTTCAGTTTTTTTCAAATCATCTACAAGTTCTCAGAAGTTCAAATATTACTTTATATTTAAGATTTGACCTTCAGTGACCTTTTCAAGGTCAACAAAGGTTAAAAAGATTTTTTTCAACTTGCTTCAAATTGACCAAATTTTTATTTCAAAATCATCTACAAGTTATCAGAAGTTCAAATCTGGCTTAAGATTTGAGATTTTACCTTCATTGACCTTCTCCAGGTCAAAAAAGGTCAAAAAGGTTTTTTTCAACTTGCTTCAAATTGACCAATATCTTTTTCAAAATCATCTACGTTTTCAAAAGTTCAAATCAGACTATTTGACCTTCAATGACATTCTCAAGGTCAAAAAAAAATTGTCCTTCAATGACCTTCTCAAGGTCAAAAAGGTCCTTTTTCAAATTGCTTCAAATTGACCAATTTTTTTTCAAAATCATCTACAAGTTCTCAGAAGTTCGAATCTGACTTTGTACAAGTTCTCAGAAATTCAAATCTGACTCAAGATTAGAACTCATTTAATATTGTGAGCACTAGGTGGTGACATTTTATGTTAATGCCTTGTCTTGTGTTATTGTACAATGCATGTTGTTGGGACTTACATGTACAGCAAATCCTGTAAAATAGAACACTATTTAAAGTCCTCTTTCTCATGAAGTTAATGTAAAAACCTCTATTTGTGGAACTCCTCCTAAATAGAACATTATGTTAAGTACGTTCCAAAGATGTTCTATTTATAGTCTACAGTTTTCTCTGTGTATTAACATGGGATTGATATACAGCAAAACCTGTGTATATTAAACATTTCTTGCAAAGAAAAAAGGTTCAATGTTGATAGCTGTTTACTACAGAGAGGGTAATTTATACATTAGTAAACAGAGTATGTCCAAACGAAGGTTGTCTACTAGAGACAGGTGTTCACTAGAGAGAAGTGTTCCCCTATATTAATATGACCATTTTCTGTGCCTCTTACCTTTTTGACACAACCCCTATATTAGTATGACCATTTTCTGTGCCTCTCATGCTTTTGACACAACCCCTTTATTAGTATGACCATTTTCTGCGCCTCTCGTGTTTTTGACATAACCCCTATATTAGTTTGACCATTTTCTGTGCCTCTCATGTTTTTGATACAACCCCTATATTAGTATAACCATTTTCTGTGCCTCTTGTGTTTTTGATACAATCCCTATATTAGTATGACCATTTTCTGTGCCTCATGTTTTTGATACAACCCCTATATTAGTATGACCATATTATGTGCCTCTTACCTTTTTGACACAACCCCTATATTAGTATGACCATTTTCTGTACCTCTCATGTTTTTGATACAAACCCTATATTAGTATGACCATTTTCTGTGCCTCTGATGTTTTTGACATAACCCCTATATTAGTTTGACCATTTTCTGTGCCTCTCATGTTTTTGACCATTTTCTGTGCCTCTCATGCTTTTGACACAGCCCCTTTATTAGTATGACCATTTTCTGTGCCTCTGATGTTTTTGACATAACCCCTATATTAGTTTGACCATTTTCTGTGCCTCTCATGTTTTTGATACAACCCCCTATATTAGTATGACCATTTCTGTGCCTCTTGTGTTTTTGATACAACCCTTATATCAGTATGACCATTTTCTGTGCCTCATGTTTTTGATACAACCCCTATATTAGTATGACCATTTTCTGCACCTCATGTTTTTTATACAACCCCTATATTAGTATGACCGTTTTCTGTGCATCTTGTGTTTTTGATACAACCCTTATATTAGTAAGACCATTTTCTGTGCCTCTCATGTTTTTGACACAACCCCTATATTAGTATGACCATTTCCTATTCCTCTTATGTTTTTGATGAAACCCCTATGTAATTATGACCATTTTCTGTGTTTCTCATATTTTTGATACAACCCCTGTGTTTGTTTTGAATTTATATGTTTATCTCATTCTTAGAATTGATCTCGTGTCCACGTTTTGGTCACAGTGTTATTGTGCTTTATTTGTTCTTTTATAGGAATGGCTGGGTGTGCCTATTGAAATCAACGCACTCTCCCTACTTTACAGGTAATGAGAACGTCTCTGAGGTTGACTATTTAACATGTAATTTATTTTTTAATTAAAATTATTGTAATAATTATAACTTAATTGCAGAGCTTAACAATTGTTAATATAATTTTTATATCAAATATATATCAACACAATTGATTGAAGCAAATGAGTGTTGATATTGATATTTACAAGGCAATAAACGATATCACTAGAAATGATCTGATATTGGGTTTATCCCATGATAAGAATTAAAAATTCAAAAAATCATAAGATTCAAATTTGTTTATCATACAGATATGAGGTCAGTCATACATGTAGCTGATAAACTATACCAGCCGCATATGAGGGCATGAGTCTGATAAGCAAATTTCTGAAGAATACCACGCGGATCTATATAATATCAGAAATAATACTGGTAGTGTTATTGTACAAAAGAAACAATAATTGTGGGATAAAATATAATATATATCAATATAATATAAATATAATGTAATATAATATAATTTATATATCTTTTATTGACTCTTTAGATGTCATATCATGACATATTAGTCACTAAGGTAGAGCAGTTCTTCCCATTGTCGAGTTGAAGAACTGGTATCCTTATCCTGGCTAGAACCATAGACAATTCTAGCCAGCTTTAAAGTATAGTAGATTCCAGGTTTCGATTTAGTAATCTTGTAGTGCAACAATGAATGTATTTGTAACTTTTTGTGCGACATTTAAAAGATTTACAATAACTCATAAAAATTAATCAGAACTGATCCAAATTCATAGGACCTCTACACGAGAAGAAATTTCTGATATGGTATTCATGTGCCAAAGGTGAAGATTTTCCAAAAGGTTCCTGAATATTTCTATCATAAATGTTACAAGTGATTTGATGATCAATATATATTTTTTGGTGGGAACCGGCTCTTCGAACTTCACATCCAGATGGGAGTCGAGGAGCGAAGATGCTACTTCAGGGAGTTGCTGTTTTTCTAGTATCATATCCAAGCAGCCATAAAAGGCAATAAAAGCTATGTTTGAAATAAATAATATAGTCATATCACAACATAGTGTGGTAATGGTAAGCTGATAGATATCAGGGCTCCAATATACTTGTATGCTTTATACATGCATACAACTTCTTGTGTTCATATTTCAGACGTGATATTTACATCTATGAGCAAGTAAGATGTCCTCCAGTGAATCTAACACAGAATGAATTTAAGGATGTGGTGAGTTTACATTATATATTGTATACAAGTAATTAAGTAACTTGAAATAAATTTTTGAGTGTGTTTATTAGAGCTACACCAAAAAAATTAATAGAACTTTTTTTAGAGATTTTACAGTCAACTTTGTTCTCACGTGACAATTTGAATTTGTTATCTCATTCTCAAATATTCGGATATGTCCTTATGGATACCATGAATATGCTATCATAAATGAAGACAACAATTTCAAAAACAGTCAAAATTAATTTTGCTTTTGCATTAAATCATAATAGTCAGTTCATGATTTTGTATCTTATTGGGCAAATGATTCCAATGATGCTCTATGCTACAGGGACTTAAAACTGGGAGGAATGTAAAGGGTGGGCCAAAAAAACAATACCCAAGTTTAAGGATGAATATCATTTGGTATAACATTAAACCATTCCATGTATTGTATATCATTTTGAATATATGTCATTTCTTAACAATATGACAGAATCTGATTGAAAAACCATTGTTTTCTTGTGGATTTAGAGGCTACAATTGACAACAGGGATGTCATGAGCGACCAAAAGATTATTCACTGCAGATTTACAAATTGTGAAAAATGGAGCGAAATTTGAACTTTGGTACCTTCAAAGAGGTTCACTTATACAAGTATAGTGCAAAATTCAGCAATGATACATACATATTTTTAATAAATTATCAATTGTGTATTCGTCTCAAATAAATTTATGATGATTATATCAAGTGTATTGGGTGCAGCTGTGACTGCAATATGGAGGGAAATTTGGGAATTTTCATTTTATGAGTTTGGTCACTCGTGGTACCCCTGATGTCAATTTTAGTCTCTAACTCCAAAAGAAAACAAAGATTTTTCAATTAGATGGCGTCATTTTTTTTTTAGGAAATGATTTAATTTTAAAATGATATGATTTCTTCCTTGAAATATTATGCTAAATAGTGACTTAAGAACATTAGATGCATCTGGCTCTATCTGTTCTCATGCATATGCTGGTACATCATGTAGCCACATCAATGTGGGTGGTTTAATCGATTTACCCTTTCAATAGTTCTCAGTCAGGCACTTTGGCAGCTTTTGCCAAGGGGGACACTTTTCAAACAAATCTGGGGGTTCACATTTGGCCCAAAGTCACTTGAAATGTGCAAAGAATGGTGAATACCAGCCCCGTAGCCAGGATTTGTCAATCGGGGGTTCAGTTTTCAAAAATATCTAGGGGTTTCACATTTGACAATTTTGGTCCACATATGGCTAAAATCACTTGAGAAGTGCTCAAAATGGTGAAAAACTGCATGATTTTGAAAGAATATTTGTGAACCCCCCTGGCTACAGGCCTGAATACCCGCATGATTGTGAAACAGTTTTTAGCCATGGAGGGGTGTTGAACCTTACTGAACCTCCGAGCTACAGGCATGCGTTAGTTTTCAATTGTATGAATAGATAATCCCTTGAACAGCCCTGTATCAGAACAGGTCGATCAAACCCAAGCTAAGAATCATAATTGCATTCCTAGAATTTTATGCCTTCTTAAATGAGCATATAGCTTGAGAAGATGTTCAGATGTAGAGATGGGGGTGTTGTCACATTAAAAGGGTAATGAGTACAGGTTTGTCTTTGAAAGCGGTTAAATTGCACTAGAAAATGGATATTTATGGTTGAGAAATATGTTGAAGGACTGGAAAACTCCCTGGAATATATTCAAGGAATTTGTATAAATCAGTACACACATGGTATAAGGTAAAGGAACATCTGTTTGGGGGTACTAACTTTTGGTGGCTACTTGCTGCGATTTCATTTATATCATGTACATTTACCTTGTTTTATATGATATTGTCAATGGGAATGCAGTTTACAAATTAGCTGCTTATATACATGTAAGATACGCTTTTAGATATAATTATTTCTTACATTAATGAAAATCGGACATAATTTTTTTCATGTCTGTAGCAACATAACTTTCTCATACTCCAATAATATCTATAAATTTTCATGGCTGGATGTAGAAAAGTTGCCTTATTTTGAAAATATAATCAGATTTTTCATGGGCTTTCAACGAGATAATTAAAAGCCCATGTATTTATACATGATTTGAAAATGACAATGACTTTGCTGATTTTCGTCCCTAACAATTTGTTTCAGATCTGGTTGTGCTATACTGATGGCTGCCATTATGACTGTGTGTATCCCAGGACATTTGTAACAAGTTCTGCTATTTGCCAATGTATGTATAACATAATTGCATGGTCCTCTCAGTATTCCAGTGAGTGGGTGTTGGACCTATATTTGAAAATTTGAAAGATGGCTTGAAAAAATTTGGACATTAATGGCCAGATTTCAATTCTATTTGAATTTGATTTTGAGCTATGTTTTCTCTCATAATATGTTAAAATCCTCTTAAAAATGTAAACTATGAAAATTAAATGAAAATTCTATGGATCTGCATTAAACAAATGTGTTTTTTCTTTTTACAGCTATAGTATATGAGATACTGTACAAGAACGTATTTAAGATGTCTAAAGAAGTCCATGAAGGTGTTCAACTTTTACGCAACAAAAACTTTAACAAAAGACGAGATAGCCATTCACCATGCTACAGGTAGGATAACCCCTCCCTTTCCAAGTTTCTTCACATAAATTGTACTTCTGGTCATTTTTTGGAATATCCACTGACTTGTCTATCTGTCTTCGGTTCCCTTTCATCTATTCGTTTATCTGTTTGTCCATACTACTTATTTACAATAGTTCCTTGTTTTACCTCATCATTAATAGGCATTTGCCCTCTTAGTATTTTGTGACTTTTTCTGTATTATGTCAGTGGATAATTTGTCTTTATACTCTTTCCCTTGTATTAGGTAATCTATAAATACGACTTAGACAAATGAAATTTAACACAAGTATCTTTTCTCAAAGTGTATCACAGAAAATGGACAAATTTCAGAGTCCCATGACCACTGACTTCATTTTAAATGAATCTCTGTAAATATAGAACACCTCCCAAGTGGAACACTTTTAGAGGAACCAAAGGTGTTCCACTTACATGGGTTTTACTGTTTTGTGGTTTTACTCACTGGAGTACTTTTAAAATGAGAGTTATCAAAGGTGCTCCACTGTCCTGTGCTTTTATTGGAATTAAGGATCAAATAGAGTACATTTACCTGAGTATATCATTGTTTGTTTAATGTTTAAGATGCTATTCTTTTTATTACAGCTCTTCGCCAGAGACCCAGGAGGTAAATATTATATACATATATAATGATAACATAATACCTAAGAATATGCATGTAGAAAAAGAAAAAATTGCAATATTAAGGTTTTCAAGAATGCGATACAATTATTCACCTATCTAGATATCAGGTATTTAAATTGATCCAAACATGGTAACAAGACTGGGGGAAGATATGGTTTTCACAGTCAACCAAATCATGATTTTTATAATCATAATATAATATATACTATATATAAACAAAATATTTTGTATTTTTAATCATTATCTACAACTTTTTCGCTCTGATCTGATTCATTGTGTAGGGGATAATTCGACTATTGACCACTTTTTGACCAATCAAAATCAAGTATATTGTATTTGAATTGAGGTTATAATAATAATGATATCAGAAACAAGTCAAATTCTTTACTTCAGAAAATATTTTTAATTTATTGAGACTTTCGACTAATATCCCTTAGTCTTTTTCAAAATATAACAGCATGTATACATTTATGTGACGTCATAAACAGACAATGGAAAATTTAATTATGTAACAAATGACCTAGTAACCTAAAAAATAACAACAACAAAAAACATAGATACGAAAAAACGAATGACCTAATAATAACCTTAAGATAAATATATCATCGTTATGGTAACAATTAAACTCAAATATTACTATTGCATACTTTGCTATACCATTCTTAATTTACAATATTTTATGATACAAATTGTCCAACTGATACCCATTATCTCTGTTCATTTTAGGTTGCATTGTTTTGAAAAAGACTAAGGGATATTAGTCGAAAGTCTCAATAAATTAAAAATATTCTCTGAAGTAAAGAATTTGACTTGTTTCTGATATATTAACCAGAGAGATGAACTTACATAGAACAATAATAATGATGTTTCCCTCTCCTATATAATAACTTGAATACCAGCCAACCAAATGTGTTCATATTTGATTCAAAGCTGTTTTAGTTGATCAATGTGATCTTGCAATCTGAAATTGTGATACAGTATTTCTAGAAATATTCAAAATGATGAGTAAAATCGATATATGTGTAAATATCCCATAGTAATAGAGAGATTTCGCATATACGTGAAATACAATTTATAGCGTATACTTGCAGCAATGCTTCGCAACCATATCCATCTGGAGCATCTCTCCGCCACTGTTGCAATCTGCATACTTGCTCGCTTCCGCTTGGTAGATGGCATTCCAAGGGACTTCAGCATCCAAGTCACTGACTTTCCAGCAAAACCCCTGCATCCTACTTCAGTAGGGAAGCTGTGGGCTTTCAAGTCCTTCTGTCTTGCTTCTGTGATAACGTCATCATATTTTGTTTGTTTCAACTCATGGGAAACCTCAATTCTATCCTCCCATGGAACAGTCAACTCGACCAAGATAACACACCTTTTGTCATTTGACAATGTCTGGTCTTAGTATGGTAATAGCTATGTAAATATAATAGCTCGACATGACCCTTTAAAGTATACGTATACGTATAAGCTGTACTTTCACTTATGTGCGAAATCTCTCTAATAACCTTGGAAAACATTTTTTTTTAAATTTGCATTTTTCTGGTAAATCATAATGTAAATCATATTTTATCATAGAATTCATTCATTCACTAATTAGATTGTTTGATGAAAGCAATTTATCCAAAATTATCAACGATCAGCAATTAATTTCAATTTACTCATTTCAAAGCATAAATTTCATTGGTAATGACAGCCATGTACTGATAACAATTAAACACCAATCAACTGATGTAATACATATTGTTTTAACTTTTTAACGGTATCATAAAATTTGAAACAGGATCATTAGTTCAGTGATTTTTTGCAAGCACATGTGTAATAGTTTGGATTTTACTGTTATATCATCTAAGCTACTTTCAAGTTTTCTGACAAGACTTCGTAAGAAAGTCTGATATTCAAAAATTGGATTGGATCACAATGTAAGATTAGATGATTGCATAGGTAAGTACATGTACATGTATGTATAAGGTATCTAATTAATATACCATGCTGTTCATTTTATTAAATCTTAATTAGAGTAGAAGAGATGAAGTCCCCATTGAAAACTAATAGAGGTATGGAGTCAAAACTTTGAGCAACTGTTCGAAGCAAAGTGAACACTCTTATTAATTGAGAGTTAGCTACAAAGTCATCATTCTTATTTTTTTTTTCTTGAAAGAAGCTGTAATTTAATTCAGCTGATTTTTGTTGTACTTTCAGTATTATAGAAAACACCATGTTAGTGTGAGTCCGCCATTCCCGTACCGTATCGCTAAAGCATTGGATCCTGATATTTACCGCAATGTAGAGTATGATACATGGATGGAAGCTAAGAAAGGTGAGCGTCTTTGCTCTAAAGTTTTGGAATTGTATTGATGTCCAGGGTTTGAAATTACCACTGACTACCAATAGTCATTTTGGGCTCACACAGTGAACCTATGGGATTGACCAGGCATCCATCCGTCCGTTGTTCTGTCCGTCCGTCAACATTGGCCGCACAAATTAAAACTGCTATTCGGATTGAGTCTGAATATCCACATTCATTTTATGCATATCCATAATGCCTATTTGACCTATCATCGCCATTTCCCAAGTTCGCCCGGTTTCCGAGAAATTGCTGATTTTGACGTCAAAAATTCAAATCTTCTTTAAATATGAAGGTTCTACACTGTGTGAGTACAGGACCGTGAGTCCTTTATTTGCTCTTGGCAACGAACTTGGAAAACTAGCCTATAGGCAAATGGATTCAATGCCAGGATGGTCATTTGTGGGAATCATGTTTTAACCGTCATGAATGTCATGACATTTCAATTTTAATTGAAATCAATAAAAAAATAATTTGAAATCAATACAGAAATAAAGTAACTTTGTCAAATTTTCCATTAAGGAATCGTATACTAGCCTGTCCAAATCTATACTGTTGTCATATTTTTGCAAATCCTCAATTGGAGACTAGCCTATTCTAGAATCATTTCCCGCTATTGTAACTCCACAACAGTCGTAGGAATGCAAAAGTTATGACAAACTTACGACTGTCTTAGACTTAAGACTGCTCCATTTGTAAAACAATCGCTGCCCTGTTATAGAATTTGTATAACATTTTTCATTAATAACAAGTCATTGGTTCAATTCAATTAATAACAGTTTTTTCTTGAAAGTTACAAATATACACACAAATATAACACACAATGTATCAAAATCAAAATGAAGTGTATTTTTAAAATTGTAGTCTACACTCCTATAAAACCACGTATAATTTACTCCATTTTTGGGAATATACTCTACACTTCTATAAAACTATGTATAATATACTCCATTTTTGGGAATATACTCTACACTCCTATAAAACTACGTATAATTTACTCCATTTTTGGGAATATACTCTACACTCCTATAAAACTACGTATAATTTACTCCATTTTTGGGAATATACTCTACACTTCTATAAAACTATGTATAATTTACTCCATTTTTGGGAATATACTCTACACTTCTATAAAACTACATATAATAAACTCCATTTTTGGGAATATACTCTACACTTCTATAAAACTATGTATAATATACTCCATTTTTGGGAATATACTCTACACTCCTATAAAACTACGTATAATTTACTCCATTTTTGGGAATATACTCTACACTCCTATAAAACTACGTATAATTTACTCCATTTTTGGGAATATACTCTACACTTCTATAAAACTATGTATAATATACTCCATTTTTGGGAATATACTCTACACTTCTATAAAACTATGTATAATATACTCCATTTTTGGGAATATACTCTACACTCCTATAAAACTACATATAATAAACTCCATTTTTGGGAATATACACAGAATTTGAGTCACCCACTCAGTACTGTACAGAGAAAATGTAAATATGACATAAACCATAAATTGAAATTAATCTGCCTAAACTGCTATATGATGAGACTTGTCAATGACAGCTGCTCTGTCATATAACAATCCATAACCCTCACAGAAAATATGTAATCTACAACCACGCCATTTGCTACAAAATTACATTTGAAAATGAAAAATAAGCAAGATATTATTTTTGTATGCATATTTTATAGGCATGTAATGCACACTGTTGAATATCTAATTGATTGTGTAACCGAAATGATGAAATTCTAAAACATTGAATAAATATTAAGGGAGAGCATGCACAGATTTTTACTAGACTACAGTAAAACATTCTATTTTTTTTTCGATGAGTATTTTGTGATTGGTACTTGTTAGCTCAGATGGGTAAGCCAGCTGTAATTGGCTACCTGTTTCTCTGTCTGGCTGTCTACCCCTCCATCAGTTGTTTGTCTGTCTACCCCTCCATCAGTTGTTTGTCTGTCTACCCCTCCATCAGTTGTTTGTCTGTCTACCCCTCCATCAGTTGTTTGTCTGTCTACCCCTCCATCAGTTGTTTGTCTGTCTACCCCTCCATCAGTTGTTTGTCTGTCTGTCAAAACTGGTGACACATTTACCGTCAACAATGCAAATGGTTTCAACTTTAGTGTGTGTCTGCAGGTTTGTTTTGTGAACATCGATTTAGAACTCTTTATTACCCCTGGTTCTAATTTTATCTTTATAGTAAAAATATCCATCCTGTGGAATTATGAAGTTACATTGTATTTAGAAAATGTATGAATTGCCATTGAAATTGAGATAATTCAATCATTTATTTTCTCTGAAGTTTTCATTGTTAAATATGACAACAATAAAGTACAATGAAAACACTGAAGTTATATAGAACAGTATACAGTATTTATAACCTTTATGTTGATGGATGAAAGTTTAAGTGAAAAATTAATGATTTATTGTAGGTTGGCGTTTAAATAGCTGCTTTTACTAAATACTGATCTCTCTGGCTATCAACAGCAGATGTAAACCATTAAGCCATTCGATCAATTGGATCCTAAAAATCAATTTTTAATAAACTCATAACTGTATATAAAATTGAAGAAATTATTAGTTTAAAAGTGGATTATTAACGGAACAGAACAGTGAAGAATTGTAAGTAGAAGTTTAAAGTCATGCCTGTAAAACACAATTATGGAATTATTTTTTGTATTTTTTTATGAAAAAATAAACTGCAGATTTTCAGATTTCAAAATTGTTAAAATTTTTAAATCACACAATTTGTTTTTCTGGGTATGATAGGTCTAAGTTAATGATATGTATGTATTATTGCATACCTTATGCGAAAGGTTCATTTAACTTGTTTAACTTGGAATCAAAGGCATTTTATCAGCTTTATCAAGCTAATTACATAACTAATTATGCCTCAGAAGGATCTGTTTTACTGATGTATTTTGATTTTTAATTTAAATTTCGATCAAAAATAATACCTTTTTTGCACTCTAAAAGACTCATAAATGAATAAATTCCCTTTAGAAGGCTTGACTGTTTTCATATTTGGCCTTCTTGCATATATCTATTCTTTTGAAAAATAGTTTTGGCAAATGAACATTTGAGAGATAGGAATTACAACTTTTTAAAGACATAATGAGTTTTATCCTTTCTAAATAAATACAATAAATGTAATGTTAACAATAATGTCATTTAAATGTCAAATTGTATTTCAAATTAAAACTGTTATAATGTTCATCTATTTGACTTCATCTATTTGACTATAAACACCTGTCTTTGTAAACACTTTAATCATTCCGTTCTCCCACATTTTCTGTTTTCATAAAGTGCAGATGGAAAAGCCTCATCCTGCAGAATCTTAAATTCTAATTAATTTCTGCAGAATTTTCAGAGTTGACATATTATCAAAATTCCAGGATTTCACCTAAATGCAAACAATTAATTTAAAATTGGTTTTGCATTTTCTAAGCATTGTTTGCAGGAATGTCCATGAAGAACTTCAATATTTTTGTGAAAACTTTATATATCTTTTTCATGAAGAACTTAAATATTGGTAGAAATAAATACATTTTATATTTTTCTCATGTTTGTCAACAAATGTAATAGAATTTATGCAAAACAGTTCCTTTTCTTTTGCAGAATTTATGAAATTTATTTGCGGGAAAAAATAACTTCATCTTGCAGAACACATCTTCCCATGCCACACTGACAAAGAGTATAAATTCTCTTTTATTTAATGGACCATTTGCTGTATAGATATATTGAGATGGATGAATAGATGGCAGCACATGTGTTGGGAGGGCCAAAATGCTATTGATATTATTGAGACAACTGGCAAAAAGTTACTTAATTTCTTGATTTATCAAGTATTTCCATTTGGATTCATATAAAACTCCATCGGCATATAACTACATGATATTGTTAAAATGTGAATTGTAATTTAACATTCAAATGTGAATCTAAAAACAGTAAATGTCAATTTAGCCTGACCTTTTTCAGAAAACTCAAAAATCCTGGAAAGGACGATTCTCGGTTTGGAGAACGAAGTTCATCAATCTAAATGAGCATTATCCCTGCTTCGGACAAATTTGATTTTTTTACATAATATAGATTTGAATGTCTTCTTTTGAATAGTCATAATTTAATTTGGGTAATATTTCTAGATTTTTCGCAAAAAACTATTAGCGCAGTACACTGATGAACTTCTTTCCCCAAATCGAGACTTGTATTTTATTGAATCGGTCTATTTGAGCATTATCCCTGCTTCAGACCAATTTGTTATTTTTACATCTTGTAGATTTAATTGTCCTCTTTTGAATATTCATAGTTTAATTTGGGTAATATTTCTATATTTTTCATGAAATTTTTTTTAGCCCAGGAGGCTGTTCTCCAAACCGAGAATCGTCCTTTGAATATAATTGAATAACTGTGCAAACCAAGGTTGTTCAAATTGAAAATTACACACCAAATTCAAATATGCCTTCAAATAGAAGGAAAATATGGTATTTATTGGTTAGAAATGCAGATCTCCTAAAGTCTCAATAAAATGAAACTTCAACGAGATTTTAAAGCAATTGACAAAATAATATTAACTAATTGTTTCGAAATCGATACTCAAGGAGTGTGTACTACTAATACCAGCTGATTTCACCCTTTTCATATTAATATTTGTATGGTTTGGAAGATCAGAGACATATGCTCAAATTATTGTACAGTTTAATTCAAATTAATTGCAGTTTTGAAACACATGTTTTAAATGCTCTGTGCTGATCTATATCTGATATGAAAAGGTCGTAGTTTTAAAATGACGTCAGGGTATGGTATATTTTAGTATTTTTTCGATATCAGTTTTTGGTTTATATGGTGAGCCTATGGGATCGACTAGGCATCCGTCCATTGATCTGACCATCCGTCTCTCCGCCCGTCAACATTGGCTGCACAAATTAAATCTGCTATTCGTATTAAGTCCTATCCACATTCATTTTAAGTATATCCATTATCCATAGTGCCTATTTGACATGTCATTGCCATTTCCCAAGTTCGCCCAATTTCCGAGAAATTGATGATTTTGACAAGGTGACCCTATTTTGACCCTATTTATAGTTTCTATTAAACACTCATTGACAATCAATATAATAAAGAAATAAGTTGGTCAGTTGATCTATAAGTTAGCAGATTGTACCATTACCAGTATTTGTCTGTTTTGCTCATATTGTTCCAGTCATTAAGAGTCAATAAATCAAATGAATAGGTCAACGGCAGGTGGTTGTGTAACAAAGTTTATAGGTCACCTTGTGCTGATTTTTGTGCAGGTAGACGGTAATTAACAAGTCGGCCATTTTGAACTTCAAGTGGGATATTGATCACTATGTGTAAATCTCTAAGTACAAGTGCCAAAGGGTACCCTGTGCGCACCAATGCGTACCCTGTGCGCACCAATGGGAACCCTGTATGCACCAATGGGTACCCTGTGCACACCAATGGGTACCCTGTGCACACCAATGGGTACCCTGTGCGCAGAGTCTAGTTATAAACTATGCTCTGCCTAGTATAGACACATGCTAAATGCGAGCTTATTAGCTCTATGATGATGTCAGAGAAAATGACCATATATAGAAAGTCGTCCGTTGTCGATGATGAACTCTGACTGGCTTGGTGAGATCTGAAAGTTCTTTACATTGCTTGGTGCAACAGAAGATACGAATTACAATATGAAAGGAAGTGAGCTATGTCATTTTCGTTTATTTTAGAATCATGGTGTTGTTTTAATGCTAGGGAGATCACTGGGAGTATATATCGTGGCGGTATCCTCTAGTTTTTCATTTTGCCAATTCTAACACTGTAAATAACAATAAAACTAAACTAAACTAAACAAATATTTCAGGAAGTGTAGGTAATAATGTTTGATATCACAACATAACGAAAAACAATTAATCCATTTCCCTTCACATTTTCTATTTTCCAGAGCTAGAAAGGACTGAACAGCAACTTGTTGAGAAGAGGTTCACAACAGGAGACAAGTGTCAGGTAAGAGTCTTACGTCCTCGCAACATAGATGTCTCCTTATATGGTGATTTTATTCCATTTTTCTCAAAAGTTTGAGTGAAATGAAGTGTCTGATTTCCTTCTTTTTTTTATAAATCTTTATTTTCACATATTATTTTACAGGTTATTTGTAACTGATTTTCTTGTATATGTATGCAAGAAATGTGGGGGCATATTTTCATCAGCCTAGGCACATCTGTCTTTCTGTCTGATGGTCATCTGTTCTTTGATCCTGAGGACTTCTTAACTGCCTAATTTTTATCGCACTTTTTCAAAGTGCCATATTGTCACCATTTTTAGGATGTTTCCACATTGTTTTAGATTACAAAAGTCAACATGCAATGATAGTTTCTATTGTTTAATATGGCAAATTTAGCTTCCATCATAAAAGTATCGCCAAAACCCATGATTTTCAAAAAGAATCTGCAAAATTTAAATCTTTTGTCATCCATTTTTGTCTCACATGATGAGCCTATGAATTTCCCACCCACTCATCCATCTGCCATTGTTATTTACATATCAGTCTTATATGTTTTTCAACATACTTCTGGTCTTATAATGCCTATTGTGGAAATCACTCGTTTAATTTTTCAGATACATTTACAAAGATTAAGTTGTCACATTGAAAATTCGATTTATGTTTTAAGAGTAGGATTGTTGAGTGCATGCATGCGGAACATTCACATGATCTGATTTAAGGCATTGTTCAGTTATTAGATTTGGAACTGTATCTAGAGTACTTGGTTTAATATATTACAGTGAAACCTGTAAAGTAGAACACCTCTAGAAGTAGAACGCTTCTAGAAATGGAACACCTCTGTCAGTGGAACACTTCAGAATTCCAAGACCAACTGACTTAATGTTAAATGAACCTCTATAAGTAGAACACCTTCAAAGTGGAACACCTTTTAGAGGTACCAAAGGTATTCCACCACTAAGACAGGTTTTACTGTATCATGTTTCAAAGCTAAGAATACAAGATGCATTCTTTCATAATGACCCTTAATGTCATTTTTAGATGCTAGAAAACACGAACTGATCATTTGCATCTGGTAATCTTTTTATTGATTTTTAATTGTTGTAATTTATGCATTGATGGAAAATAACAATGATTTCACTTGTTTCATTTAGGATTGATAAGTTATGACACTTGTGTAATTTTTGAAGCACAGTAATGGATTACTTCCTCTCGATGCATTCTTCACTTGACGTAAAATAGTATTTACTCAGGATTTTGAAATACTGCAATACTCATTGAAAAAATATGTGGTATGTTGTTTAATTATGGACTTCTGTAAATTAAACATATGGCAAACGAGAAACATTAATGAAACAAAGTTAAAAAATTCTGGGTTTGAAAAAATGCATGTCCATAAAAGTTAAGAAATAGAGAATAGCTACTGGCTTTCTTCTCAGATAGATGGTGCTGAAAACAATAACATAAAATGATCAATAGTGTCATGATCTTCTAAGTAATACATTTCTGAATAGATAGCACGTCTGTACCTATGTTCCAACTTTGCCTCGAAATAATTGCTTTAATTTCTCTTGCGCCTCATGGCCATTGTTGTGTGTCAAGTATATTTAAGGAATATATTATGGTTGCTTTATTCAAATGTTGACCTTTGGTTCAGGTCTGGATAGAATCCATGTTTCATTTGCATTTTACACAATCTTACCATACCAATTTTTGAATAATCCAAAAGAAATGACTATGATTAAAAAATAGCACCATTGTAACATAATTAAGAACATTGATCGAATTTTTATGCAGCTTTATACTTTCAATCCCTGTTTATTCTTTTTTTATCTATATTTTCATGTTAACATGACATTTTACAATTGAGCTTCAAGTATGTTATGTACATAACAGGTATTAATTACCTGGAATGACAAACAATACTTTAAATCCATTTGGTATTTAGCTGGCAGTAATTAAAGAATCAATGTTTTTCATAATTATAGGACCTTCGAATACTAGTTACAGTAAAACCCATATACCCAAACACCTCTCTAATGTGAAGACCTCTCAATGTAAACCCTTTTTGGGTCTCATTTTTTATCAATCTGCCATAAATTACATAAAAACCTTGAAACATCGAACACCTGCCTATCTGAACACTTTTGGCGAGTCTTAATAGTACATTCCGAAAAGACAAGTTTTCCTGGATATGTACGATTTTACTCATATATGCTTCACTTAAAGGATTGACTGTACTCTAACATTGAACTGTCATTGGTGGTGTATTGTGTGATTAAACCTCGTTAATATATCCACCACATTAAATCACCCATTGATTTTTTATGTCTATAAATAATTCTAGAATATTCTATGAAATATCAGTTTAGGTATGTATTACAATAATTAAATCACTGTCATGTTCTCCACTCTCTTATTGGTCTATACCAGACATGTGACCAAAAAATAAAAATATGTATTCACCAGCCAAGGATGTGACATCTGTAAAAGGCATATTCAATGTGACATATTCACTGGCTTTGGCATTTCTTTGGCTCTTTGGACTACAGGGACACCTTGCTTGAATCATTGAAAAATGATCGCTCAATAGTTTGAAATAGAAATATTTGTAAAATACTCATCTAACTTCAAATAACCACTCCTCATGCTGATTTCTGGCTCATCTAATTGGTGTTTGAAATGCTTTCTGCTTAATGGCAAGCATACGCGATTATTTTGCATAATGATGTTACATAATTTAATTAACAATGAAGTGCTCAGTTTAATAACATATCCATCAATTGTTCAACACAACATAGCGTATGATGACCCCTTTATATTCTACATTAATTGGGCACACCATATTTGATTCCTGTCCACCATCAGCAATTCGGTAATTGAGCTTAATTGACTTCACATCCCTTTGTATAACAACACACATGAAAGAATTCAATAATTCATGACTCCGTGATGATGATACCATTGTCTGATGTTTCACCATTGTTGTCAAGTCAATATTATATAAAGGGGATCCCAAAACATCTAAAAATAAATGAGATTGTAATATACTGGAATGCAGAAAGCACACACCCAAATGCAATAACATCTCTTTGTTCTGAGCAACTATTGCCATAACAGTTTTTCAAGTGTGTTTCGATTTTGTGATTAGTAAAGATATGCGACAAAATATTAATAATCAGAGAGTTATATAGCCAGATAGATGAGTTTGATGAACAGAATGGAGATCATCAATTTTAACATTGGTGGAACAAAATTCAGCACAACTCTCCCAACATTAAAGAAACTTCCAAACACGAGGTTGTACGACCTTGCCGTTCATATTGATGAGGAAAAGCAGAAACAGAAAGGGATTGCTGCACAAGATTTAGCGAGCGAGTTAGAAAATGAAACCATACTTCCCAATGCTGTCATTGTAGATGATATAGAGAAAAGAATATCTGATTTGAAAGTAGCCTCAAATCACAAACGTGACCAACCAACAGATAATTTAAAATATATCAAAACCAGTGATGGTGAATACTTCTATGATCGAGAGCCAGAAGTATTTCGATGTGTGTTGAATCTCTACAGAACTGGACACTTACATATTCCGAATTCATTATGTACACCAATGGTTCGTCTTGAATTAAAGTTCTGGCAGATTGAGGAATTGGTCTTGGCCCCATGTTGTCTGAGTTCATACAAACAGTTTGACGATGCAAAAGACATCATTAAGGAGATTGAGAACTTCTTCCAAGAGTAAGTAGAAGTTTTAACTTGTATTACTATGTGTAATGTAATGTTTATTATTTTTGTCATTGTTTTTCAAGACATGGTGAGTGCCCAAAAGACAGGCCTCATCAAAATATTTCAGAAAGACATATTTGTGGATGTTTTTACACATTTAACATTGATAAAGATGAAAGTTGTTTTTTGAAGTTTTCAAGATCATTTTCTAATTTTAAAGTGTGAAATTGCAAACACAAATATATTACAAATAGCAGCCTTCTGGACTTTTCTTATTTATATAATCATGGGCTTTCAACTAGAAACAATACTTTTTTTGTGATATAGCCAATACATTGAATAGGAGTCAGGAGAAGTCTTGATGATGACTGATGCTCAATTTAACATACTTTATTTTATTCATTTATTGTTCAGTTTTCTCTCCGTCTTTTTATGATGATTTTTATATGACAATTTTGAATAAATCAAAAGAATGTACATCAATCAGCTCTCTTAATACTTCACCAAAATATTATGTTTAATAGTAAATAATGTGTGATAATAAAAGTTAAACAATATGATGCAACTTATAATGTTTGGCAGGAGGAAACGGGTTAAAGTAATACCGGTATTTCAATATTTCAGTTTATGATTGGTTAAATTATACAATAGCAAACGCATTGTAACAATTTTCTTGATTTCAGAGATGTTCTCTTTTTTATTCCTTTTTTTATTCATTGAAAAAACATTTGAAAGCAGTTACATTAACATTATACAATATACATAATATCATAGGAGTCACACAATTTTCCATCAAATTCTATTTTTTAAGGCATCCAACCACACTAGTCTAATCAATTCAAGTACCCATAATTTCCCACTTTTTTCCCTGCCTATTTGATTATCAATATTACAATAAGATATAACATTCGCTTTAAATTCTTAAAGGTAGGTTTTAACATCGAGTATTTGCATAGGTACACATATCTTTTAAATATACTCCATATATTTTTCAGGATAATTGTTCTGTCATTTATACACACTGGTCCTATTAAAATATTCTGTTTTGTACAAAGTCCTGTCAATTTCAGAGATGTTCATGAAAAAGTTAACTATGATAAATGTGGCTATTCAACCCAGAGGGTACGGATTGCAGTTTGGAGGTTCATGACACAGCCTAATTCTTCAACTGCTGCAAAGGTAAATGATCATTGTAAGAGTTATCATGTTAAGGGAAGACCTGAAAATCAAAATGACCCACAATAGAAAGTCAGCAAATTTTAAATTTTCCTCAAAAATGGCTTCTATGTCCAGGGGTATTCAGTTTTCTTAGAGAGGTAAGGGAAAAGTCAGGGAATAATAAGCAAATGAAATGTTGGGACTACAATCCAAAAATAAACAAATATTGGTGATGTACTTTTTTGTTATATTGTTAGTTTAATAAAAAATTTGTCTCAAATGGATACTTCATAGGATATTTGAATATGTATTTACACGTGCTAAAGAGAAATGACCAGAAATTTTTTACAGAACACATAAAAACATCTTTCTAAGACAACATTCAGAAGGAAAACAAACCCCAACTATCCCAAGCTACAAACCAATGAGAAAAGAACCATTATCTAATACCCTCTCCCCACCATTCAAGTAGCATAATTACAATCTGAGACCACAATACCAGGGGATATTTCATTTATACAATACAAGTCAAAGAATCTATTTCATTTCATAGCTAACTACTCATAACATCAAGTATAGTTATTTTAGAAAAATTATGGTTTATTTTTTGCAGGTGTGGTTGTTAATCCAGTGGCTGATTATTATTGGGTCATTCGTCATTGTTGCCATGGAAACTGTTCCAGCTGGGAGGGCCCCAAGACTAATGTTTTATAATCAAACAGTGTATAACTATATATTGTTAGACAAATCAATGCGGATTAGTATGACAGATCTTGATTCTGTTTTATATTTCACAGATACTGCACTGATGTTTTTCATGCTTTTAGAGTTTATTATAAAATTGCTATGTGCTCCTAATCAATTGAAATTTCTGAAGTCTGCAAGCACAGTATGTGACATACTAGCTGTTATTCCTCATTTTGTGACATTTCTGATTATTTTCATCAGTCCTATAGTTTTGGCTAATGATGCTGTCTTGACTTTGTTCAGAATAATGTGGATGTTTAGATTATTCAGGATTGGACGGTTCATGGTCGTGATGAGACAGGTTTTGGGATTCAAAGTTATGTGTCTTTCTCTCAAATCCAGTTACAAAGAATTGGCTCTTCTTATTCTCTGCATCTCATTTGGCATGATGATTTTCTCAACTCTTATGTTTTATGCTGAGCTTGAAAATCACGGCACCTTTGACAACATCTTTATTGGATTATGGTGGAGTGTTGTTACCATGACAACTGTTGGCTATGGAGATATGGCCCCAGGGAGTGTATATGGATACCTAGTAGGTGGGGTCTGTACATTGTCTGGAATCATCGCAACTGGATTGGCTATCCCAATTATCTCAAATAAATTTACTACTTACTATGAGTTTGCAAACATGTATGTGGCTTGGAAAAAGCAACAACAGGACAATCTTCTTAACATGCCTGATGAAAAGATTCAAAAGAAAGCTCTGTGTAAATATTCTGAAGTATTAGATAAGTTGGAAACCTAATTAAAATAATTTAACTAATGAGACTAATGCATGCGTATTGTTGTCATACTTTGATGCACAAAATTTGGTGTTACAATATGCGCTTGTCCCATCATCAGCAATGTGCCTGATTTCATTGTTATTTCGGGTCGTTGAACTCTACCAGTTGACCCAACTAAAAGTGGTATGTGACAAGTGTGTGCTACTCAAAGTTAATACTTCTAGTTGGTGTCTATTTTGTGCTCTAGTTTTCTGCTCTTTTGATGCAGAGCCATTCTGATGCTTTCTCTGCTGTTCTTGTGATAGAATTAATGAAAAAAGTTTATACCCACTGTATTACCTGATTTAGATTTGGTGGATATATACTGGCTAAATATGGCTCCATGTTATAGTATTGGAGAAATGACTTTGTAAATGTTCAGCTGTAGGACATCAGCATGTAAATAAATAAATAGGGCATATAAATGCACATTTAGTAATATCATACTTTTGAAAAGTTTTTTGGTTGTTACACATACATGTATATTTTTGGATGGATTCAATGTATTAAATTGACATTTTATGAGTATTTTCGTTGCACTTCTCTGCATAAACAAAATACTGGAATTTTAGATTTAAGCATTTGTAATCTTCTCTCCAGTAATAAATGCTATCTTGGTATTACATTGCAAATTTTGTACATTGACATATCCTTGTAGGAGTATAAGGCTTTTTCATTCAGTATGGAATGGTCATTTATGGAAAACATATTTTATATCAAAAATTGTTATTATGGTAAAATCCTCATATATTAAATTTTTCAGTATATATAGTGTTATTTCATCCATTTCAAAGCATTGGCTAAAAACTGGATTATGTAACTAATGGAGTGAGCTTTAGCTTCATACAATAGTATGACCTCACTGAGCCAAGTATATTTATATAATAAATTGAATGAGAAGGAATATTTCCATGAGATTACATTTATAAATTGTAATAACAGTTCACCTTGTGTAGTTATAGGTAAACTGATTTGGAAGACTTAACCTGTATTATTCTGAATTACAATTTAATGGGGATGCACAAATGAGTGATATAAACTGCAATGAGCCTAATGAAGTCATGATGATACATGAACATTTATTGGAGTTCATTAACTTAAGCATTGTGTTCAGGAAATGAATGCCTGTCCACCAGGAATAACTTAGAGCAGATATATTGTTGATTTATAATAAACTTACTAAAAACTCATTACCGAAATGGATTTTATTATTTATATTTTAAATTATTTATGGTTTGGATTGTTTAATATCTGTAATCCCCATTAGTTAGATCTGTTGGACAAAATGGAGGAGATTATCAACTTAAACATAGGGGGTGCAAAATTTAGCACAACCCTCGAAACATTAAAGAAACTTCCAAACACGAGATTATGTGATCTGGCTATTCACATCGAAAAAGCCGCACAAAACATAAAACACAATGGGATCACCATCCATGATTTAGAAAGCATGCCAGAAAATGAAATAGATGTTAAAGAAATTAAGAAATCTGAATTTAAAAGTGAAAAACAAGATCAACCTAAGGCAGTATTGGAATACATCAAAATTGAAGAAAATGAATATTTTTATGATCGGGAGCCTGAAGTGTTCAGATGTGTATTAAACCTTTACAGAACTGGACATCTGCACATTCCTAGTTATTTATGTACACCAATGGTTCGTACAGAATTGAAGTTCTGGCAAATTGAAGAAATACTCATAGGCCCGTGTTGTCTGAGTTCATACAAGAAGTTTGATGATGCAAAGGTCATCATTAAGGAGATAGAGAACTTCTTCCAAGAGTAAGTATTATTTTCTAATACTCTTTACTATTCTGATACAAATGTATTCTCTACCCTTTCAAGTACAAATCTCCCAATGGACCACAATATTATAACAAATTCTGTATTTGTCTCTAGAATAATGAATATGGGTACATCCATTTATAAAAAGCCAGAATAACGAAAGGCATATTTAGTTTATTCATGTTGAAATGTAGTCTTGGGACAAAGTCCCTTGGCAGAGTAACAGGCTGATTGATGTTTTGGAGTTTTAAATTAGACACTGACATGTACATATAAAAAAATTATTATATACTGACAGCTTTTTATGAATATTTCATTACATATTACATTATTTTATATAGAAAGATCAATAGATTTCTATTATACATAGATATACGTGTTGCATTGCAATTAATGTACTTGTCATTTGCTATATTTTTGTGATTTGCCAGACTTAATGTATTGGTTTTAGTATGAATGATATGTCCCTTGGTGTGATGATCTCTGATTGTAATATTGGTTTATGTTTTTTGAATGGTTGAAGGAGGGGGGATAAGACACTGTTTCTTTTCACGTTAGGTTGTGATTTGGGATAACATGGGCTCAATTTCATTATGACTGGTGTACTCTCAGATGTTCTCTTGCTGTGTTCTGTAACCATTTTTGGTGTTTTCCCGTTGGCACTTGTGCTTACATATTCTAATTTATAATGTATCTCATGAAGGTATCTCATAATTTCAGAGATGTTTATAAAGAAACAAGTCCTGATCAACATGGTAGTACAAGCCTAAGATTGCGGATTGCAATTTGGAAGTTCTCGACTGACCCAGACTCATCAGCAGCTGCAAAGGTAGATGATCAGTGTATAGGGTAGCCTAGAGGTCATGACATTTTTTCAAGTTTTTATTACATACAGTGAAATCTGTGTAACCGAAGACCTCTCTAATCTGAACACTTCTCAATGTGAACTTTTGTGTCTCATTTTTTTTTTAATCTACTATAGATTTTCATGTCACAAAACATTGAATAAAAACACAATGCAAACTGAACATATTTGGTGGGTCCCATTGGCATACGGATTAAACAGGTTCTACTGTTTTTTTGACATTTCTATTGCTAATCTACTCTTTAATAAAAATGGAAAATATTGGTTTGTCTCAAATGTATAACAATTAATTTATTGAGATTTTTATGTTGTTAATTTTTTCAGGTGTGGTTGCTTATCCAGTGGCTGATCATTATAGCCTCATTCATCATAATTGCCTTGGAGACTATACCTGCTACAAGAGTTCTGATTCCTACAAATGAAACTCAGATTGAAGATCATGAATTTGATGTTCTACTTCAAGATAAAGAATTTAGAATTAATAGAACTAGTATAAATTCTGCGTTGTATTTCACTGACATTGCGATTATGTTCTTCATGTTGCTAGAGCTGACGATTAAGTTCACATGTGCACCGAGTAAACTGAAATTTCTCAAATCCATGAGTTGTATATTTGACATGCTGGCAGTTTTCCCTCAATTTGTAACTTTTTTGATTCTCTTTATCAATCCTGATTTGATCTTGGAAAACAGAGTTTTTGAAACTTTCTTCATGGTAATGTGGTTATGCAGACTGTTTAGGATTGGCCGTTTCATGGTTGTGATGAAGAAAGTTTCAGGATTTAGAATAATGTGTCTTTCTCTCAAGTCTAGTTACAAAGAGTTGGCTCTGCTCGTCCTTTGCATCTCATTTGGCATGATCATTTTTTCAAGTCTTATGTTTTATGCTGAGCTCCAAAATCCTGGCACTTTTGATAACATCTTCATTGGATTATGGTGGAGTATTGTTACCATGACAACAGTTGGTTATGGGGATATGGCCCCTGAGAGCACATATGGGTACCTAGTAGGTGGAATTTGCACATTATCAGGTATCATAACCACTGGATTGGCTATACCAATTATCTCAAATAAATTTACCAAGTACTATGAATATGCAAATATGAAAGTATTTTGGGAAAAATATCAACAAGTCAACTTCAAGAAAGCCATTAAAAATGGTGTAAATGATAAAATAAAACCTAACCACAAATTATCAGAGGTTTTAGAGAGTCTTTGTTGATTTATTTTATTTTGAGTATATTTTATGAAAATATTGAATTTTGTTATTTACCCAAATGCCAACTATGACAGCTAATATTTGAAAAGCTCTTAACAACATTGATTCATTATATCATATGTATTGCACAAAGTGTTTGTAAATAAAATATGTAAATTTGTAGATAAATGTATACAGAAAATATAGAATTTGAAATATACTACACTTAATTGTAACATGTCAGCTTAATTGTCAATACTTAATGGAGATGCAAGCACCTGGTACAGCACTGCGACAGCCTTCAAACATCTCAGCACTTTTGAACCTGATTCAAACTCTGTGTTTTCATCAATAACTATGTTGGCGTTTTCGTCAATTACCATCTAAGCTGAAGGACTATCAGATTGAAAAATGGAAAAGATTATGGAAAAGATTTATGTTGATTTCTTTGGCTATATAAGGTACATTCGATTTATTACATTTTAAAAAAGTTTGAATTTCACATCTTAAAATGCAGATTTTCTGTATAACAAATTGTGCAGATTCTTGCATTCCATCAAAGATCTAATCAGAAATCTCCAGTTACTGAAACTTGCTATTCACATTATAATTAACATGGTGGTGTGCAAACCTTGAAATGTTGGTTGTAATGGGCCTGGGGAAATCCATGGCAGATGGTTTAATATTAATGTCACGGTGGAATACATAGCACATGCTAGATATTTTTTTCTTTATTTATTTACTTTAAAATAGAAAAAAGCATCATGAATTGATCTTTGATTGTATATTTAATTAAATAATTAAGTAATTAATAAAAATTGTCAATGTTTCAACTTATGTGTCTATTTGTCTATTATATTCTAGTGTTGTGTGCAAATTGCAATCAAGCAAATGTACTTTTTCTATTAAAAGCATTGCTTCACAATGGTGTTAACTGAACAACACAAATAAGTACTTTCCCTGTGTCCCACAAGTACTATTTAGAATTATCTTCTTTTTTCATAAAGAAATATGTGGCAAACGGAATATGTTGGGCACATGGTATGATCAGTATTATTAGTGATTAAAATAAAAGAATATACAAAACAAAGTAGCTTTTGGACCACAAAGAATCACAAATTCATCTATCTTCCCATCCATCTATCTGTCCGTACATTCATAGATGCAATTGGAAATAATCTTGATTTACATCAGCTATTATTCAAAATTCAGTCAAAGTGATATCATATTTGAAATCGTCATGTAAAAGTACATCTAGATCCATGATTTGAAAAATTGTTTATCATGTGATACTGTAAAAAAATATTTTACAATGTGTGAAAAGAATTTAAGCAGATGATTCAATAAATCATGGATTTAATTCACTCCTATGTTATTTCCTAGACTTTGGATTTATGCTGCTGCACTTATTCAAAGTCTGGAAACAAAGTCAGAGTCTGAAACTTTCATTTAATGATACATAACTATGCCTGATATGCTGATATAGCTTTCATCAAATGATTCAGTTCTTTCAGTATGTTGTTTCTGATCTGTTATGTAGAATTATATGCTCAGCTGTGTTTATATAGTGTAACACAATGTAACTGCTGCGCTATGTTTTGTAAATTCACAAATAAATGCATCTACTTATTTAACATTATATTGTAACTTAAGTGTTGAAGATGTTAACGTTTTATCTAAATGGATGAAAATATGATATGTCTGATCAATTTATTGTAAACATTCAGAGATACATGCATATCAAATGGATTATTGGGTGGCAGGTGAATTTATGTTATTAGGATATATAGAGATTATCCTATATGAGGTTCAGGATATTGGGATTATCCCGAGGCCAATATAATATATTTGCCCGAGGGCCGCAGGTCCCGAGGGAAAATATATTATATTGACCAAGGGATAATCCCAATATCCTGAACCGACTATAGGATAATATGTTTATCCCATACCAATCTTGGTCATCTGGTTCACGTTGTTCAATCGTGGAAATATTTTAGAATATTCATGTCCAGTTTTGTTTTCTTGGCCGTGGGCGGATTTTTCTGTTCTCTCAAGTATTCCCACATCTATTTTCTCGAATTTTTTAAGTGGATGCTCCTTCCCTTTTTTAAACCATCAAACAGATCCCGATTGTCTGTGTTTTCTCCACTGTCGTTTACAGTCATTACGCGAACGTTACAAATTATGAACAAATATGCGAGCGGCGATTATGACGTAGCGGGCAGATATACTATATCTGCCCGCTCGGAGCGGGACGTAAAGCTATATCTGCCCGCTGATGAAAATATAAGTTTTTACAAACCGGCTTTATGTACCTGTAACACGTCCAAGTATGGGATAAATAGAGATTATCCTATACGAGGTTCAGGATATTGGGATTATCCCGAGGCAAATATAATATATCTGCCCGAGGGCCGCAGGTCCCGAGGGAAAATATATTATATTGGCCAAGGGATAATCCCAATATCCTGAACAGACTATAGGATAATATGTTTATCCCATACCATTCTTGGTCATCTGGTTCACATTGTTCAATCGTGGAAATATTTTAGAATATTCATGTCCAGTTTTGTTTTCTTGGTCGTGGGCGGGCGTGTTTATTTTCTCGATTTATTTTTGATTGATTAAGTGGATGCTCCTTCCCTTTTTTAAACCATCAAACAGATCGCGATTGTCTGCGTTTTTCTCCATTGTCGTTCACAGTAATTATGCGAAAGTTACAAATTATGAACAAATATGCGAGCGGCGTTTATGACGTAGCGGGCAGATATACTATATCTGCCTGCTCGGAGCGGGACGTAAAGCTATATCTGCCCGCTGATGAAAATATAAGTTTTTACAAACTGGCTTTATGTACCTGTAACACGGGAAAGTATGGGATAAACCGGTATATAACATGAATACTTGTAGCTTACAATAGATGTGGCTGACTCATGGAGTTCATATATGTTTCTTATTGTAGTGTTCACAATTATAATTAGAAAAAGAATAGAGTCCTGATTTGGCAAAACTGTATTGTTCTTGAAATGTATAAACACCTTTACAGGTTATGTCACATTCAGCACAAAAATGTTAGCATGTCTTTGTGCCATGTAAATTAATATTTTAAGAAAGTTCTGCGATTACTATGGAATTTATTGCTTCAATAATTCATAACTTCAAAAAAATCAGAGAGAAATATTAATATATAGTTATACTATATATGTGCAAAATCAATATAGGAGTCATCACAAGGGACGGGTTCTGAGGTCGTAATTTTTATGTCATTACCATAAGAGATGACTTATTGTTATTTAACTCCAACTGTTTTTGTGGATGGCATTCGGCTGTCAGTGTTCAGGTTTGGTGTCTGTAACAAATGGCAGGTAATGCCATTATGCATGTTAATGCCTTGTTTGCATAATAAGCAAGAGATTTAAAAAATATGCATTTATCATGATTAGTATTGTGAATATTTGCAAAATTTGTATGAGAGAGGTAAGATATTACAAAAACTATGATGTATTTGTGCTTGTAGGTAACATTAGAGAGTAGCCCTGATCATGTCTTCATTGCTCATATTCAAGAGATGGGATCAGAGAAAGATCCTGTAACAGTTTTTATAGAGGAACTAGGTGAAAGGTATGTATGGTGATCATGAATAAATAGGATATAAAATGTAAATCAGCTGTGAAATAAACAATATAGAAATGTTGTAGAAAATTTGTAGAAATGTTCCTTATTTGCAATTGACCATCCTCCGATCACAGGGTTTCAAAATCCAGAATATATTCTTTCTTTTTACCCCCTGCGATAAGCAGTTACCATTTCCCCGATTAAGAACTCGCAATCTGATTGACTGTCGCAATCTGATTGACTGTCGCAATCTGATTGACTGTCGCAATCTGATTGACTGTCGCAACACTGCGACAGAAATCATGTATAAGTCATTGCACATAATTAGATCACATGATTCAGTTAAATCGGGCGCGTCCAAATTGGTTATAGCAGGGGGAAGAAGGAGGTACGGATTCTGGATACCTGCTTAGGAGGATGGCAATTGACCTATATGGAGTTTTCAAAGATTATGGCATAAACCTTATACCTGTACATGTACATGTATTTCCTGAACCCTTATATTAACCTTTACAAAAATTCTCATTTCACCAGACTGCATTGCAAAATTTTGAATGTCACTTCATATTTAGTTGTTGTTTTCAGACATACAGTGACATTTGAACAACTCCGTGCCTTACCTCAAGCAGGTTAGTGTTGTTATAGCAACCAGTGTTTTAAAGTTGTCATGGCAACTAGTGTGTTATTGTGTCTGTCTCTGAGAGCACTTGCTATTCCATAATTTCTAAAATATTTCTCCACTATTGTTGTCATAATGATCAAATATTCTCAAGTTCCTATTGATTATACATGTATATGAAATATTCATTTGATCTAATAGCTATAGTGTCTAGTTGAAGTGTTTCTATATGATGCCATTCAGACCCATAGCCAGGTTTTTAAAAAATTCTAGGGGGAGTTCACATTCAACATCTATGGCCCAAAATGGCCAAAATCATTTGAAAAGTGCTCAGAATGGTGAAAAACTGAATTATTTTGAAATAATTTTCGGTCCAGAACCCCCGTCCCCCTGGCCACAGGTCTAGCCATTTCACCATGTTAATAAATATTATTGATTTTCAGAGGGTTATCCACCTTTGTGTAAAAAGAAGCAAAGGAGAAGAAAGTTGGTGAGTAGTTCAGTTGTAACATCAGTTCAACATACTACATATTTAGAAACTGGTATTATAGGGGTATTATGTCCACTTACTTTTTGTCAATAGCATAAGATTAGAACACCCCATTATATTGTAAAAAAGTGAAAACATTGTTTAAAACCATTTTTATCATAAACCTCAAAATGGAAACTATAATTGTGTATATGATCGATGAAAAATTATCGTTGGTGAGAATTTGCTACTCCCACACTGTTAGCATATGCTACAGGCAATGGCATTTTGCTATTGCTATGCATCTGTTTCATTATTTCATCCATCACTTAAGGAGCTCCCATTCATACCATCCATCACTTCGTTGTTTTTATCACACCATCGATGGGATATAGTCGTCATGCTAGTCGTGATCGTGGTCGTGGTCGTGATCGTGATCGTGGTCGTGATCGTGATCGTCCCGCTTTTTTTTTGTCATCGCCGTTTAAGGAAAACTGCTCATCAGATTTTCTCCAAATTCGCAGAGATGATACAGCATATGAAGTACTAGAGCTGATTAACTTTTGGGTGGCCATCTTGTTTCCTGGTGGCCATTTTGAAGGTTTTTCTTAAAATCTTGTCATCGCCATTTCAGGAAAACCGCTCATTGGATTTCCTTCAAATTTTCACAAATGATAGAGGATATCAAGTACTAGAGCTGATTAAATTTTGGGCGGCCATCTTGTTTTCTGGTGGCCATTTTGAAGGTTTTTCGAAAAATCTTGTCATCGCCATTTCAGGAAAACCGCTCATCGGATTTCCTTCAAATTTACACAAATGATAGAGGATATCAAGTACTAGAGCTGATTAACTTTTGGGCGGCCATCTTGTTTTCTGGCAGCCATTTTGAAGATTTTTCGAAAAATCTTGTCATTGCCATTTCAGAAAATCCGCTCATCGGATTTCCTTCAAATTTACACACATGATAGAGGATATCAAGTACTAGAGCTGATTAACTTTTGGGCGGCCATCTTGTTTTCTGGTGGCCATTTTGAAGGTTTTTCAAAAAATCTTGTCATCTCCATTTCAGGAAAACTGCTCATCGGATTTCAAGTACTAGAGCTGATTAACTTTTGGGTGGCCATCTTGTTTTCTTGTTCTTGAAATTTGTAAACATAATAGGAGAACAGTTTTCCTGGTTCATAGTGTCTGCCTATTTGATGGTGTGATCTCGTTCACGTCCTGTGCCTTGTTCACTTTGTCATCCATCACTTAAGGATCTCCAATTCATGATGCCAGTTGTTCTTGTGTTTCATAATACCATCCATCACTCTAGGAGCTCCCATTCATGATGCCAGTTGTTCCTAGTGTTTCATAATACCATTCATCACTTTAGGAGCTCCCATTCATGATGCCAGTTGTTCCTAGTGTTTCATAATACCATCCATCACTCTGGGAGCTCCCATTCATGATGCCAGTTGTTCCTAGTGTTTCATTATACCATCCATCACTCTAGGAGCTCCCATTCATGATGCCAGTTGTTCCTAGTGTTTCACTTTACCATCCATCACTTAAGGAGCTCCCATTCATGATGTCAGTTGTTACTTGTGTTTCATTATACCATCATTCACTTTAGGAGCTCCCATTCATGATGTCAGTTGTTACTTGTGTTTCATTATACCATCCATCATTTTAGGAGCTCCCATTTATGTTGCCAGTTGTTCTTTGTGTTTCATTATACCATTCATCACTTTAGGAGCTTCCATTCATGATGCCAGTTGTTCCTTGTGTTTCACTTTACCATCGATCACTCTGGGAGCTCCCATTCATGATGCCAGTTGTTCCTAGTGTTTCATTATACCATGGGCTTTAAATTAGAAATTATACCATCCATCACTTTAGGAGCTCCCATTCATGATGCCAGTTGTTCTTGTGTTTCATAATACCATTCATCACTTTAGGAGCTTCCATTCATGATGCCAGTTGTTCCTTGTATTTTATTATACCATCCATCACTTGAAGAGCTCCAATTCATGATGCCAGTTGTTCCTTGTGTTTCATTATACCATCCATCACTTGAAGAGCTCCAATTCATGATGCCAGTTGTTCTTTGAGTTTCATTATACCATTCATCACTTTAGGAGCTTCCATTCATGATGCCAGTTGTTCCTTGTATTTTATTATACCATCCATCACTTGAAGAGCTCCAATTCATGATGCCAGTTGTTCTTTGTGTTTCATTATACCATTCATCACTTTAGGAGCTTCCATTCATGATGCCAGTTGTTCCTTGTGTTTCACTTTACCATCGATCACCTAAGGAGCTCCAATTTATGATGCCAGTTGTTCTTTGTGTTTCATTATACCATTCATCACTTTAGGAGCTTCCATTCATGATGCCAGTTGTTCCTTGTATTTTATTATACCATCCATCACTTGAAGAGCTCCAATTCATGATGCCAGTTGTTCTTTGTGTTTCATTATACCATTCATCACTTTAGGAGCTTCCATTCATGATGCCAGTTGTTCCTTGTGTTTCATTATACAATCCACCACTCTAGGAGTTCCTATTCATGATGCCAGCTGTTCCTAGTGTTTCACTTTACCATCCATCACTCTAAGAGCTCCCATTTATGATGCCAGTTGTTCTTGTGTTTCATAATACCATCCATCACTCTAGGAGTTCCCATTCATGATGCCAGTTGTTCCTAGTGTTTCACTTTACCATCCATCACTCTGGGAGCTCCCATTCAGGATGCCAGTTGTTCCTTGTATTTCATTATACAACCCATCACTCTAGGAGTTCCCATTCATGATGCCAGTTGTTCCTTGTGTTTCACTTTACAATCCATCACTCTAGGAGTTCCCATTCATGATGCCAGTTGTTCCTTGTGTTTCACTTTACAACCCATCACTCTAGGAGCTCCCATTCATGATGTCAGTAGTTCCTTGTGCTTCATTATACCATGGGCTTTAAATTAGAAATTATACCATCCATGACTTTAGGAGCTCCCATTCATGATGCCAGTTGTTCCTTGTGTTTCATTATACAATCCATCACTCTAGGAGTTCCTATTCATGATGCCAGTTGTTCCTAGTGTTTCACTTTACCATCCATCACTCTAAGAGCTCCCATTTATGATGCCAGTTGTTCTTGTGTTTCATAATACCATCCATCACTCTAGGAGCTCCCATTCATGATGCCAGTTGTTCCTAATGTTTCACTTTACCATCCATCACTCTGGGAGCTCCCATTCATGATGCCTGTTGTTCCTTGTATATCATCATACAACCCATCACTCTAGGAGTTCCCATTCATGATGCCAGTTGTTCCTTGTGTTTCACTTTACAATCCATCACTCTAGGAGTTTCCATTCATGATGCCAGTTGTTCCTAGTGTTTCACTTTACCATCCATCACTCTGGGAGCTCCCATTCATGATGTCAGTAGTTCCTTGTGCTTCATTATACCATGGGCTTTAAATTAGAAATTATACCATCCATCACTTTAGGAGCTCCCATTCATGATGCCAGTTGTTCCTTGTGTTTCACTTTACCATCCATCACTCTGGGAGCTCCCATTCATGATGCCAGTTGTTCCTAGTGTTTCACTTTACCATCCATCACTTAAGGAGCTCCCATTCATGATGTCAGTTGTTACTTGTGTTTCATTATACCATCATTCACTTTAGGAGCTCCCATTCATGATGTCAGTTGTTACTTGTGTTTCATTATACCATCCATCACTCTGGGAGCTCCCATTCATGATGCCTGTTGTTCCTTGTATATCATCATACAACCCATCACTCTAGGAGCTCCCATTCATGATGCCAGTTGTTCCTTGTGTTTCATAATACAACCCATCACTCTAGGAGCTCCCATTCATGATGCCAGTTGTTCCTTGTGTTTCATTATACAATCCATCACTCTAGGAGTTCCCATTCATGATGCCAGTTGTTCCTTGTATATCATCATACAACCCATCACTCTAGGAGCTCCCATTCATGATGCCAGTTGTTCCTTGTGTTTCATTATACAATCCATCACTCTAGGAGTTCCCATTCAGGATGCCAGTTGTTCCTAGTGTTTCACTTTACCATCCATCACTTTAGGAGCTCCCATTCATGATGCCAGTTGTTCCTTGTGTTTCACTTTACCATCCATCACTCTAGGAGCTCCCATTCATGATGCCAGTTGTTCATTGTGTTTCACTGTACCATCCATCACTCTGGGACATCCCATTCATGATGCCTGTTGTTCCTTGTATATCATCATACAACCCATCACTCTAGGAGCTCCCATTCATGATGCCAGCTGTTCCTTGTGTTTCACTTTACCATCCATCACTCTGGGAGCTCCCATTCATGATGCCAGTTGTTCCTTGTGTTTCACTTTACCATCCATCACTCTGGGAGCTCCCATTCATGATGCCAGTTGTTCCTTGTGTTTCATTATACAATCCATCACTCTAGGAGTTCCCATTCATGATGCCAGTTGTTCCTTGTGTTTCATTATACAATCCATCACTCTAGGAGTTCCCATTCATGATGCCAGTTGTTCCTTGTGTTTCACTTTACCATCCATCACTCTGGGAGCTCCCATTCATGATGCCAGTTGTTCCTTGTGTTTCACTTTACAATCCATCACTCTAGGAGTTTCCATTCATGATGCCAGTTGTTCCTAGTGTTTCACTTTACCATCCATCACTCTGGGAGCTCCCATTCATGATGCCTGTTGTTCCTAGTATTTCACTTTACCATCCATCACTCTAGGAGCTCCCATTCATGATGCCAGTTGTTCCTTGTGTTTCATTATACAATGGGCTTTAAATTAGAAATTATACCATCCATCACTTTAGGAGCTCCCATTCATGATGCCAGTAGTTCCTTGTGTTTCATTATACAATGGGCTTTAAATTAGAAATTATACCATCCATCACTTTAGGAGCTCCCATTTATGATGCCAGTTGTTCCTTGTGTTTCATTATACAATCCACCACTCTAGGAGTTCCTATTCATGATGCCAGCTGTTCCTAGTGTTTCACTTTACCATCCATCACTCTAAGAGCTCCCATTTATGTTGCCAGTTGTTCATTGTGTTTCAATATACCATCCATCATTTTAGGAGCTCCCATTCATGATGCCTGTTGGACGTGGAAGTCAAGGCCGGGGAATACCACACCAGGGGTATGTAACTCTACAGTACATCATAGATTTCAGGTTTTGAAATGCAAAATAGAGTTGAAGACAGAGAAAACCAATGGATAAAGCAAACAAACTATTCTTTTAATTAAGAAATATAGACCGAATAGCAGGGGTAATATCGGCGAATACACCCCGCAGGAGAGGCACATGCCCTTTGGTTGTTCGGGGTACAGAAAACGTTTGTGCCTCTCCTCCTGCATTACGATTTGAACATGAAAACTCACCAAAATGTTTGAATATTTATTATTATCCGCCATTACTATGTCCTGCCGTTATGATGTCACACATTACTTGTGTCACCAGGGGTATTGTTGGCGAATATACCCTGGTGAAATGTTGACCTTGTTCACAGTTTATAGAATGCGTGAATACAGTCATGTTCGAATCCTATTTATCATGCTAATGCTATTTTTGGGGGGGAATTAGTATTGACAATTCTTTTCAAAAAAAGTTTGAATACAGTTTCTACTATTTTTATGTCACCTTCCATAACTTTCCAACTTTTTTTGTGGACATTGTTTGGCATTCCTTGGTTGGTGTTTAGCATTCAGCATCTGAAACAAATGGCAGGTAGTAATGTTTTGCTTATTTTCTCAAAATGTTTATATTGCTAAACACTGCTACGTACAACCTCTGACATCATAATGAACAGAAAAATAAAAAAGTTTTATATTGCAGAATGCGCACACCACCTCCTAGGTTTTCAAACTTCAATGGAATGAGGCCAAGAAGAGCATTGATCAACTCTGCGGGTCACCCCGTACATCCTGGCACTGGACACCCCATTCATCGCCCAAGAACATTCAACTCACCCTCTGATAGGTAAGTTTGATTTCTTAAGTCCATTACTAAGTTATCCTGGTGCTTATGCTTTTAAAAGTCTTGCGTCAAGACCCCGGGCTCAATCTGGACTTTGTTGAAGTAGATAAGGGGATCCAGAGTCTTGAAGCAAGGCTTATGCTTTCCAATGCCCAATAGATAGAAATGAAAGCAATGGATCTAAATTTCATTGAGGTACACTGTACATGTAGACAATCTTTGTATTTCAGCCTCTTGAATTTTTGTTTGAAAGTGATTACACTTGGATACTTAGTCAATGAATTGCACACCGGAATAGCCTTACAATGATAAAGTCAGATCAGATACCATTGTCACAAATGGCGGACATAACCGTCGCTTCAGTTAGATTTCCATGAACTTTATGTTTAATAGAGCACCTAGACTAAATTCCTGTGGAACAACAATCAAAAGTGTCTTAATACTCATTGTATCATACCCTTCCGGTGTGAATTGGTAAAGAATTATATATATGTATATATTGATTCAATGTGTCCTACATAAGTATCCAGGTTTCGGAAGGTGAGCAATAGCGTAATCATCCACATTCTTATACATCTTGAAAATTCAATCAGTTAGTTGAAATATACAAAAAGTTGTTCTGTGGAGAAATTAGTGGTTCGAATAAGACCTAACAAATAGGTTAATACTGTAGTATTCAATTTATTTTTTTTTTATCACATCATTGATGGAATCAGTACTATAACTGACATGTTCCAATTGGATTCGATTTTTTGATGGAAGCATTTTGTCATGAAAAAGTAATTTAGTTATTTGGGGGTATAACCACGGTGTATAACCCAAACGCTCCGACATGCACGACGGAGCGTTTCATTACTGAAATTAAACAAAGAAACGCTCCGGAGTAGGAAAACTGGCTGGCGGGAATGATGAGCCGTCTGACGATTTCCCCAATAATGGGAATAAGAGGTATGAGTTACATATTTCGAGTATACCATTCGATGAGTGTGATATTAATGTTGTACTTGGCTGGCTGTTGACGTTTGAAGCAATTAGGAAGAGCTGTACGAAGCAGTATAGTTATGAAAATTCAAAAACGTATTTGTCATTCTACCGGTCAAAACCCCTTTTTATCGATACATGTGATTAGTTGAGCCAAGATTAGAGCACCAACGTATATTTTAGTCAAATTCCAATGCTTCAACGCACCATACATTATCGTAATAGTGATTTGATGACCGAAAATCCAGTCTTAAAAATGATGACATTCTCATATTCAAGAAACGCTCCGATCTGGTTAACACAGTGAACTGGAAACACTCCGGTAGTGTAGATCAGTTTAGGAAATATATAGCTTGCCTTTCCTTTTCAGGAAGAGAAAGAAAAGATCTATTATACCCCTTGGCATCAAAAGAAGAAAGATTAATTCACAAATAAAGTTTCGTTTTTTCTATAGTTTTATGATTTAGCACACATGTAGGCATGACATCATATAATGTAGGCTTAGATCAGCTAGTTGCACGTTTAGCACCACCAGGTTCAGATGTTTCAATTTGCCTGACAAGTACAACACGTTTTTGAGAGATAGATTCGATTCGGAACTCTTCTCTAATAATCTGAAAATGATATCAAAACAAAATGGTAAGAGCGTTTCTAAAATTGTGTTCTAAATCGACAGAGCGTTTCGAGGAAAACAAGCGATTTCTCGAGAACAAGTAATGGATTTGGACTGGGATTTTAGAAAATGAGAATATACGAGTTTGTGATCTACTACTTTAACAGAAAGATTAACGTTTTCATAGAAATACTAGTTTAATTCGTAATTTGTGGTCAAATCGTCATCTTCAGATTCGTTCGATCTACACTACGGAGCTTTGATCAAGCAAATAACAGTTTACCACCAGAAGTTGAATAAATAAGATCTTTGCCCACGGTATTGTTCATCGAATGGTACATAATATTTCACCATAACATATGATATGTAAGAGAAACGAGTGAAACAATACTTACGGTCTTAGTGGAATCTTCATTAGCCGCCATTTTATTTCGCTCCGGAGCGTTTCCGCGTAAATGAAACGCTCCGTCGTGCATGTAGGAGCGTTTGGGTTATACACCGTGATAACTCACACAACACTTAAGTTAAAAGCATTGAAATGTGGCATGCATCACACGGATGAACTGAACATATACATTTATTTTAGTGCACGCCTATATCAGATTATGTCACCACCAGAAGTGATGACATTTTGTTATAGTCTTCTACTTTTTTTGTGAATTGTGTTTGGTTTTCAGCATTTGGTGTTCGGTGTTTGGCTGTGAGTGTCTGTAACAAATGACAGGTGGTGACATTTTGCATTTTAATGCCTTGTATTGTTCATGTCCTTTTTCTCTTTATATAATATATTTTGCACTTCATAACAAAGTGGTGACTGTTTGGGATATTATTATATATTTAGAATTCGTTTTGTGATCTGGGGGAGAGTCGGAGTTATTTTAGCATCAGCAGTGACTTCTTAATCATATACCTTTAAATACTTTTTAAGGCTTTTGAAAAGGATGATGTCCAAATATCAAACACCCGCGGAAAACATTGGTTATTTCATTTTGAATTACAGAGGTAAATGTCTGTCTTTAGAGAAAATCAATGTTTTTTAACAAAACTTCAGGGGATGGGAGGAGTAAATGCAATTTTTTTTCACAATTTTGATATGTGGACCACATCTTGCTAGAGTTTATATTTATTTATACATGTATGACTATGTTTTAGGGACCCCTAAAGGTAATGGGCCATATATTGGTGAAAGTGGGTACTGTATCTCTTGAGTGTTCATGTAGTAACCCTTAGCTTTAGAGTGTGTGTGTAGAATTAGAGTGTACTTGTAGATTTAGTGTAGATGTACAGTTTACATGTAATAGATTTCGTGTGTAAATTTAGAGTATACAAATGCACATGTAGATTTAGAATGTAGTACATATAGCATTAAAGGGGCTTGTTTTGCTGTGATTCTCATTATTTTGTAATCCTTACAGATACAGCTATTGGGCCTTTAATATAAATCAATGATCTGTGATCTTTCCACCATCTTCTTTCTTGGCGCAACACCCACCTAAGCTCGAAACCTTGCACAATCCAGGCAAAAACCTTGCACCAACCTTAAAAATTGCACACTTGAACAATTTTTGTCTGTCAACTTTATGCACCGACAGAAAAGTAAAAAAAACATCAGAAGAATTAAATATATAATTACAATCTTTTTTGGCTCACTCAGTGAGCCTATGGGATCGACCAGGCGTCTATCCGTTGGTCCGTCCGTTGGTCCGTCCGTCCGTCAACATTGGCCGCACAAATTAAACTGCTATTCGGATTGAGTCATATCCACATTCATTTTATGCATATCCATAATGCCTATTTGACCTATCATCGCATTTTCCCAAGTTCGCCCGGTTTCCGAGAAATTGCCGATTTTGACGTCAAAAAGTCAACTTTTCTGTATATACTAGACACTTTGTTGAAGTAGAACTTTCAAATAACTTTTAGTAGTTGCTGTATATGCAACTTATGTCCTCTGAAGATTTCAAAGCTCTTGGAATTACAGTTTTTGGTGTTTACTCTATAAAATTTGACAAAAAGTAGGTCATTTTCAGGAAACTTTTTCATGTATAAGGTCAATGGCAGGTTTTGTTATTGACAAGTTTCTCAAAGTTTGCCTTATACTTGATCATTTCTTACAATGAATTACATCATAAGATTAAAGCATTCCCTACATATTGCTCAATATATGTCGGCATAAGAGGAGGGAAAGCCCCAGAGTTTAAGGATGACAGACATAATTACCTCTCTTGCTTACCACCTTCGTTCGTTCGAATTTTCATCGGCTAGTTATCAAATACTACACTTCGATGGGATGTCTCAATTGATATAGGCATATTCCGTACACCTTTCTTTATCTTGATGTGAAATGAGAAGCTATGATATTGGTTAACACGCCAGAAATGAACATAATATTATTCGAAGCGTATTTCGAAAATTTTGAAACCGCCATTGATGACGTCATTTGTTTGTCGACTTTTGACCAATCAGCGACGATGTCATCTCAATACAGATTTACATTATAAGGGTATGTCATCTTTGAACCCTGGTGTTTCTCCCCCTCTGTGTCAGCATCAAATTTTTACAGTTTTTGAGATATTTGACATCAAAAAACAGTAAAAATAAGTTATTTTTCAACTTGCTTCAATTTGACCAAATTTTTTTTGAAAATCATCTACAAGTTGCCAGGAGCTCAAATCTGACATTAGTTTTAGAATTTGACCTTTACTTGACCTTCAGTGACCTTCGAAAAAGTTGATTTTTCAAATTGATTTTTGGATGTAAATTTTGGTCGGCTTAAAGGATGACGCATATCGTTTAGCAAATCGAACGCTCGTTTCTGGTGTTGCTCACCATTTAGTATAAAAGGCCCGATCCCGGAATAATACTCAAGGGTTCACAGGTTCGAGGTCGTTGTGTCAACACCTCTAACTGTTATATAGCATAAGTATATTATAGATCGTCACACATTTATAAAAGGGTGATTTTTATTTTGACAAATCAATTCCACATTTATGGGTGAAGTTTCAGGATCTTCTATTTGTGTACAATAAGGAAAAATTGGCATCTAAATTTCCCCATAACGTAATAGCACACAGCTTGGCATATGAAATATCCTACAAATGAAACAAAGCAAGACAAACCGGTTTCTAATACAAGGATTTACGTATATTGGCTGTTGTACATGTATTCTTTGAACGCAATCACTCTTTGGATAACGTTTTCAAAATCATTATAAACGGATTACTTTATCTCAAAGACAATTTCAATAAACTGGATTTTACACAACTCCCCTTATTTCTTAAAAATGGACTGATCCAGTTGATTCGCCTGGAACCGCCATATTGTTTTTATACGGGATGCTAATCGGAACCCTTTAATCACAAAAGACCTTACTGAGCTCTGAATAAGTAAAATTTTCAAGGTCAAAGGT